ACTAAAGAATTTTTATAGAATTGTTAATAACAAAAAATGTGTACACGAAGTTGATCTACATACATCATTTTTACTTATATTAATTTATATCTTAATGGCGTGTTATAATGTTCTCTGTATTTGTCTTTGTAAATTGTAACCTTTAATGAGATTTTAATAATATCCTTTGGGCGTGGCTCAATATAAATGCATTGTGTTATTGTGCTATAGTCGTTTTTGTATTCCTGTCTATTATTTTAGCTTATTTGCATTGTCTATAGAGAGTCTGTTCGCCAAAATGATTAAGATTTAGATTATGATATTATGCTGACAACTGTTCCACACTTTTTTGACATTTTTACCTATTGTGTCTTTTTGTTTTACTTACAGATTGTTGTCAATATCATGGAATGCTATGCAACTGCCATACAAGTGTGAAGTTAAACTTTTTTTAAGAGCTGGTGTAATCATTAATTTTCTACATAACCCTATGCCTGTACTTAGTCAGGAATATGACGGTTGTTCTCCATTCGTTTGATGTTTTTTAGCTTTGATTATGCGATTTGATAATGGACTTTCCGTTTGTAATTTTCTTTGGATTTTGGTATTATTTTTAATTTAGTTTTTGCATAATATCTGTTAATGTATCAAATATCCTATAACTCTGCTTTCTGCTAAATAGATGATGTTCTCTCACTAAATAATACAAAATTTGGTGACTATGTTGAACGCATCTATCCCATTGAACTAGAGATAAAGGATACAACAGATGCAGTTAAGTCTGCTTCATATCTGGACTTAAATCAAGAAATTGACAACGAGGGTCGGTTGAAAACAAAACTTTGCGACAAAAGAGATAATTTTAGCTTCCCAATTGTGAACTTCCGATTTTTTTGTAGCAACATTCCAGCAGCGCCTGCATACGGAGTATATATCTTCCTATTGATACCATATTCCCGGGCTTGTATTTCCTATCACTATTTCCTTGATAGAGAGAAGCTGCTCACAAGGAAGATTTTAAACCAATAATTCCAAATGGTGAAGCTGAAATAATTCCTTTGTAAATTTTACGGACGCCATCACAAGTTGGTTGACCGTTATGGAATGTCCATTTCACAGATGATATCGGATATGTTCTTAATGATGTAACTACAATTCCGTTTCCTTTGCACGAAAGTGACCTCCCAAATTAGACTGTTTACCGGGTTCATAATAACACGACGGGTGTAACATGTGGAACAGGATCTGCTGACCCTTACGGAGCACCTGATATCATCCCCAGCTTTTGGTGGGGTTCTTGTTGCTTAGTCTTCATTTTTCTATGTTGTGTTTTGTGCACTATTGTTTGTCTGTTAGTCTTTTTCTTTTTTAGCTATGGAGTTCAGATTTTTTTTTTTATTTATGAGTTTGAATGTCTTTCTGGAATCCTTCGCCCCCTTTTTTAATATTATTGAAACGATTGTTATTTCTCTATCAGAAAATATAAAATCTCGTATTAACCCGGCAGTTCAAGTTTTTTTTTCTTAAAAAATTGCTATTGTTTGGCTTTTGAAACTGATTCAAAGAATAAATTACTAAACCGCAGGGTATGTTATCTACTTTAATTATGAATGGGGTAATATTAAGAAGAGATTTAATTAAAAGGTAGGGATTAATTTCATATTTCTTATGTCTGAAACTTTCAAACCTTCTTGAAAATTTTGTCACATTCCACATTGGTGTTGCTTCAGCTGTATACTGTGAGATAGTTGGTTTTTAAAATATGTATTTTAATTTCAATGCCCTAGCTATGTTTTGTTTGAAATAATTTGAAATTTATTTAATTCAGATTTTTTTTAATTTAGTTACAAATAAAAGCAATAGTTATATACTGCTGTTAAAAATTCATAAATCGAAACAGAGAAAACAAACTCTGGTAACAACTAAAACCGATTGAAGCACGTGAAATATATGAGGGAAACAACGGAACAACAGAAACACCGAACTGCAACAAAATCAAACGTCAACATACATAGAAACGGACTACTATGGATTCAATATTATACATTGGATACCAATTTTCGTGGATTTCGTGGTACAAGTAAACCATGAAATTAAATGTTCAATGAATGACAAATTTCCATAGGCTTGTATGCAGACGTCGGAAAAACCACGAAATTAAATATCCACGAACATGTAAGTTTTCCATAATACACGAAAAATAAATGAATCTACAGTATTTGATAACAACTGCCATCGTTTAATTTAATAGATCAGATTCTGTGATATCTACTTTTGAATGGTGTTCTCACTTTATTGACACAAACAATATAATAAGTCATATCTCTCTGAAGTAGAGAACGCGGTCAATATATATTCAATCATTAACGATTGTAATGTTAGCTGATGTAATATAAATTGAGGAAGGGAAGGAACGAATGTAAAAACCCTCCTTAGTGTTTCCTAAAAGTGAAAACAGATTTTCAAATCAACCTTTCACATATGTGGTAAATGACGTTAAATAGTTTAATACAATACACCAGGTAAATAGTAAAATAACAGACAAACCCAACTGTGTGAAAAGTTCATAATGGAGAGTCCATAATTAAATGACAAAATCAAAATCTCAAACACATCAAACGAATGGATACCAAATTTCATATTCCTGACTTTGTACAGACATTTTCTTGTGTAGAAAATGATGGATTATTAATGAATTAATAGATATAAGAAGATGAGGTATGAGTGCCAATGAGACAACTCTCCATCCAGGTCACAATTTATAAAAGTAAACCATTTTAGGTCAAAGTACGGTCTTCAACACGGGACCTTGGCTCACACCGAACAGCAGTTTTTATAACTAGCTAAACCTCTCACTTGTATGAAAGTCTCAAAAAGTTTAAATCTTTTGACAACGATGTGTATACAAAACCGATACAATACGTAATCATTTCCAAAATAGGGGAAGATTACTACTTTAACAAAAATATTTCACTCTCATGTTTATTGATTGTCAATCAAGAAAAATCTATGCGTGCCTTAAAGCTTTTCAATGTTTCATTACTGTTAATTTTGTTATTTTGCATCTATACTATTCCTACTTGACAGATGTACTTGGAAAGACAAATGTTTCATCAAACGTAAACACACAATTTAATATAGTTCGTGTCTGGTTACTTTAAAAAATAAATCGAGCGTACAACAAAATACTGGAAAATAACTTCAACACTTAAGAATTCAAGACAGGGTAAATTATAAATGTTATAAGTTTAAAGAAATTGAACATGTTGAAGTCATGTATTTTGAAGAACTGAAATATAAGTATGTAAACATTTGTTTTACAATACTTCAAAGAATATGTTAGTATTTATCTTTACGTATACTGCATTCAATGTTATGTATTTATATAAAGAATTAAGATACACAATATAATTAGTTATTTTGCAACCATTTGCTTTCTTCATACTACAATTAATGTAAATACATGAATATAAAATACCTTGTTATAAATTACCGAGGTAGGTTTTTTAAATGCAGTTTGGAAAACAAACTGGCTGTGTATTTCGGTGATTGCATCGAAAAGTAAATCTGGGGTCATTTTCCGAATTAGGCGGTTTGTTATTGGCTTCAATGTTTCGTCGACTTTAAATCTGCGCTTGTCACGATGAACAGTCGATCAGAAACTTTTTTATTATAGAGACGTCAATATTAATCACCTCGAAATAGTTTCAAAGCATGATCTTGCTTATATTTTAAAGTAATTCGGTTTTAAAGTTATTATCATGTTTATAAATTTTTACTTTCCAAGTCCTTCGATTTTATTTTTTTGGAGATTGATAATGCATAATCAATTGACTATCGATAAAACTGCAATGTTTATTCTGATAGACATACAAGAAATGTAAAAGTGCTGTCAAATAAGAAACAATACTGCGCTTACAACTAACATATAACTGATTTAAATCTGCCAAACCAATCTTTGTTCTTTTACTTATATATTTAAAAGTGTACTTCATACGTGAGGCGCAAAATACAAAAGGGAATATTCATCAACAATGTCTTGATAAATGTATGTTCCAATCATTTGTTTTAAAAAAAGAACGATATGTCCTTGCCATAACACCTGTTTATCATCTTTCAGCTCACACACTGGTGACGACGTTTTATACAGTCTCTGTAGCAGCTGCAAGGTCAGGAATACCGAAAGAGTTGGGAAATGTACATCGTATATGCAGATGAAGTTAATATATTGTTACTTGAGTTGGGGAAATTGATAATTGCAAAATTAAAATAGTCTCATTTGAAAAAGATTCTGGTACTGAAATGTCTGCTTGAAGCATTGTTTATTTAGATTACTTTATAAATTCAGCTTGGATGGAGATTTGTCTCATTGGCACTCATACCACATTGAAGATAGCTTTATTTACTTTTAGAGGTAGTAATAATCATTATATTCATAATCAAAATCATCATATTAATTTCCCGTATAATAATGTGTCCATCTGGTATATATGGAAAGCATTGTCAAACAAATAAAAAAAAACTTCAACACCCGTTCCAACCTCTCTGTTTTTTTTTTTTTTTATAAATGATTTTCCCCTGAAAATGGTTGTTCACTGTAAAAACAGTTGTTTTCGAAAGTTTGTATAACTTTCAAGTTTTATTCCTTGGACTCACTAAATATGAAAATAGAAAACTGCTTCACTTGAGTTTATTCACTTACAGAATTGGAAATATTTTGTCATTTTGTCTTTTACATGTTGTTGGTAATTGTAACTGTATTACTACGAATATAACAATTTATCAGCAGTTTTCAATTATTGTATATATATACATGTACTGTTCCTTACTTTTTGTAATATTTCCGGTGATTTGTGTTTTTTTCTGTATGAAAATATTCTGTCACACTTTCGTTTAATTAATGTAATTGTATAAACATTCTCATGAAGAGATTTGAAATAAACCGCCGTTTAAACAACATCAAATGTGTAGCCATATTTTGTAGACAATCACGTGATTAAGTTCTATTTTTACCTGTTCACCTTCCTTGTCTATATTTCTGCCTCGCCCACCTCTGCCTTTGTTACATTTTGTCTTGAAGTTTTAGTGTCGCAGATTGTGTGAGAATTCGTCTGAATTCAGGTAATAACCGGGGTTTAATAATGATGTGCATATACATTATCATATTCAATTTGTATACTGATTTATTATGTACAAACTGGGTATGTAAACTTATTGTAAAAATGTTGTTTCACTTTCATCAAGCTACACTAAAAAATAAATTGCTTAATATCATGACAATTACATCAGGTATACAAAACTCTTTATCCATCAAAATGTTCAGACCTTTCATTGCTACAGTTATTTCCCTTTATTGTGATACATTGTTACACAATGCTGTACATGTTTTAGCTTTCTAAAAAGCTTCAGAGTTCTTCAAAGTTTCATACTTTTTAATTAGGACATAGTTTATGTGGTTTGTTTGAATATGTAGAAGGTGTCATATACTTTCTTTGTGTGTAGAATCGTGTGTGGAAATAAATACCAGACTTAGACAGGTCGTATTATGGTATACTGAAGTCCGACTTTTCGTATGTCCAACACTTCTTCGAACATGCAAAAATCTTTTATTTTTCTCTCTGAACAATTTCGGAAAAAATGTAAATGTCAGGATTGGCAGAACAGGTTGCATCTTTATTAAAAATATTTTTGTGGTGTCATTGCAGAGTCATGGTCCCTAAGATTTGAAATAATGTTTAACCGATTGTGCTTTTACTCCAATATGCTTGGATTTATTTTTCAAAGTTTTACAATGTAAAGAGTGATAAATTGTTTTCATTGGGTTCATTAATAAATATTGAATATTGAATAGGATATTGGTATTAATTGGTTTATGGGTACCTGACTTCATTTTTATAATTTATTAATTAATGTAAGATTTCATGACAATATAAGATTTCAGTACTACAAGTTATAGGTCAGTTAGTCAACTAAATTTGGGTATAATCAATGCAAGATGAACATGTTCATCCAACAGGCTAGATCTAACCATGATCTCATTTTCATAGATTGTTTAACAATGTTTAGATAATGTGATACTTGTAGAAAATCCTTAACTTAAAACAACTTTAAACTCAGTCATATTTTTTTATATAGAGATTGCTGTATCTATATATAACATTATACATATTTATTACAATGTTAAATCATAACTATCCTACTGCCTGTCGATACATTATTTTGGCAATGCACAAGTCATGTCTTCTTTGACTGTCCATGGCGTTAAAACACTAATTCCCTGGGTTGTGTTTTAGTTGATGTTAGTTTCTGGTGCATGATTTTTCATTATTAACTGCTTTTGGCTTTTAGCTAGCTTTCAGTAACTGCGAGTACTCTCAAATCGTAATGTAGTGTTAATTTGACCTGTTGATGCAATTTGTAATTCATTTTTGTATTCAATGTTTACTTATTTTGTGTTATATCTCTCTCACTATTTTTAATATATACCAACTTTTATTAAAATTATTTAGAGTGACGATAAATTTTCACTTCTGTACTTTGAACAACAAATTTATTTATTTTGTAAAAACAATTTCCGTACTCCATGTACATCTTACAACAAAATTATTATATTTACCTATGTATGTTATCTTATTTAACGCCGTTTTGTCCAAGATTAACGTTGTCTTTCTGATATTGTTTTACATCCCCTTCTTTTTTTTATTAATATTGTATTTACATTGTGTCATAGATCAAATTTATTCGGTCAGTGTATGTTTATTTGTTTTTGTTAATATGTCTTTTGATTGAGTTAAGCCATTTTAATTGATATAAATGTTTCACGTTTCTAGTTCTTTATATAGACTAGACCGTTGGTTTTCCTGTTTGAATGCTTTTAAACTAGTCATTTTTGGGGCCCGTTATAGCTTACTGTTCGGTGTGAGCAATGCACCGTGTTGAAGGCCGTATTTTGACCTATAATGGTTTACTTTTTACAAATTGTAACTTGAATGTAGAGTTGTCTCATTGGCACTCATACAACATCTTCTTGTATCTATATAACCAGAAAAGCAGTTACGATTTGCAGCATGTCCACCCTTGATGATTCAATGATGAATTACATCTTATTTAATATCAAAGAAGGTATTTGAAACAGATTTCTTTTTTCTGACATTACTTCCTTAGAAATATCCATATTGATCGGTTTTTTTTTTATTTATTTACAGTATAAACCAGTGAGATAATGGCTAGTGCAACAAATGTCTGTGGCATATGCGATCTACGTCATATTACCAAACCATCCGTAGCCTGGTGTCAAGAGTATGATGAAGGATTTTGTTCTGGTTGTGAAGAACATCACAGCTTAGCAAAAGCAACCAGACTTCATAAAACGATAACAATGGATGAATACCAGAAGTTGCCTCCGGATGTCCTGCAGATCCCTCAGTCTTGTTCCAAGCATGATGAAAAGTTTCTTTTATACTGCAAAGATCATGAAATGCCATGTTGTGGTAAGTGTGCCATCGAAGTTCATAAACGATGCCATGAAGTTGTCAATCTCGACGACATAATCAAGAATATTAAGACCTCTACCTCTTTCCAGGAAATAGAGGAAACACTTGCTGAAGTTGTAGATAATATTAAAGAAATACAAAAATTGTACAGGAGAAACATTACTACACTTTCAGAAAACAGAAAGCAGACTGAAAAGCAGATTCAGGAAATTCGTTTAAAGATAGATACTCAATTCAATCAAATACAGAAAAAGTTAGTAGATGAAATACAAGAAGTAGAAGAAACAGAAAGAAAAAAAAGTTTCTCAGCTGGTTAAAACATTAGTAGAAAAGGATAATAATTTAACAAAGTACCAGAATTCAATTGCAAATATCAAGCACCATGCATCCGACCTCCAGACATTTATGTCAATAAAACAAATAGAGCAGGATTAAGCTAACGAAGAAGAGTTCACTCAATCATGCCTTGACGGCGACAAATTGAATACAAGAGTCATCACTTCAAAAATTGATGAAAATGTTGAAGCCATAATGAAAAATGTACAAAAATTTGGGGAAATAGCAGTAGTATTAAAGCCCACTAAAGCTGCATTACGAGAAAGAAAGAAAAAACAAGCTCAAATAATTATTCAAAAAAAAAAAAAAACTATTGAAAATATTACAGCTCGGTTGCAGGATACGATACAGACGACATTAACGAACGTAACATGTTGCTGTTTTCTTCCGGATGGTAGAATGGCATTTACCTACTTTCAAAAGGAAATGTTAATTTTGATAAAGGCTGACGGATCTAAATATTTTGAGATAACATTACAAGGTTCATACGATGTTGGAAATGGAACAACAGATAACACGGTTATTGTATCGTCATGTGGCATTAAAAGTGGTATCAGCATCGTTGACATTCAGGACAGGAAGATAAGGAAGTTCATTCCTGTCAATTCCTTTTGTTATAGTGTAGTAGAACGAAACGGACATGTGATAATATGTTCAGATTTTGGAATGAAGATGCTTAACCTTCAACCTGAAACTGTTAACACCATAACAACTACAAACGTATCCCCATATTCGTATGTAGACACAAATGGAAATAACATTTATTATACTTCATATTATGGCAATTCTGTAAAATGCTCTGACTTTCAGGGTGTCCTTAAATGGACTTTTAAAGATGAAAATATTTTGAAACGTCCCCTAGGAGTCTCTGTCGATAACGATGACTTTTTGATTGCTATATCAAAAAAATCAGTTATACTTATATCGCCTTGTGGTAAGCAGCATAGGACACTTTTATCTTCTAAAGACGGACTTTGTGACCCACAAGCGTTGCATTATGACAAAATAAGAGATATTTTGTTAGTTGAAGACAGGAAAGAGAAAGCATTTTTGTACAAAATAAATCGAAAATAAAATAACCGATTTAGATGTAAGTGTAACATAAAATGTATATTTCTATAAATTAAAATCATACTCTACACAGTCATGTATGTTTTAAATCTAAATACGGAATTGACAGTCATTCTAATAAGACATTAAACATGGCCAATACCCATTAATTTCGGCAATTTCATTATAATGGGTCTTAATTTTGTACCTTTAATAACTATTATATTTTAATTTGCCATTATCTTTTTAAATAACCATTAACCTACTGTTGCTTAATGGTTGTTAAATAGAACTGTTCTAATGGGCATTAAATTTTGATGGTAAATTTCATGGGTTGGAACCTACACTATAATGGCCATGAAAAACATTTATTATGTCAAAAAATACCCATTAAAAATAATATAACGTCATTTAATTTTTCCTTATTGATGACTCATAAATATATATGTAATGGGTTTATTGCTGTCAAAATTCAAGGCCATACACTGTAGTTTAATGGTGTTTAACATAAAGAACACTGATTTAATGGGTCTTAGTTATGTACCTTTAACAGGTTTTTAATGTGTTTTTAATGAGATTTTAATGATTATTTAAAGGTAACATTTAATGGAAAATTAATGGGTAAATACGCAGTAGTGACTATTTACGTTGGATTGTCAAGGAACATAAACTAGAAGCTGTAAAGAACCTGTGAGTATAAAAAAGGAAACTCTCCAACATTGTAGACGAGCATAGAATTCATGACAGAACATAAACTAGACGCTGTAAAGAACCTGTGAGTATAAAAAAGGAAACTCTCCAACATTGTAGACGAGCATAGAATTCATGACAAATATCTGTTTTGTTGATCTTGTATTGCTGACCTTGTAGTCTGTTTAGTTTCCCTCTATCTTATTTAGTTTTTTTGCATAAAACACAAAAGAGGGTAAAATAAATCCTCTTTTAAGGACAATCTCTTCTCTAAAGAATGACAGCCTACTAACTATATCCGGCAAAATTTGACTTGCTAGTTGATCATTATAATTGTGATCTAAAGTGGCTATTTATCTGATTTAATTTTTATCATTTAAGTCATAAAGTAAAACTAGAGGCTCTTAAAAGTCTGTGTCGCTCACCTGTATCAACTGTATTTGTAGAAATCATGTAGAATAAGATTAAATTATAATGAATAGTATTAAATTCTCTAATAATAAGTGAGGCCAAGTTTGGTTTACTTTTGCCCAGTAGGTCATCCCATTGTAGTCGTGCAATAGCTTCTGAAGCATGTGAAGACCCTTTATCATTGTTTTTAATAATTTTTCAAGTTGCGACCCATTGAAATGGTTTAATTTTACAATTTTCCTTAGACTTCTATAGTAAACCCCTATGTTCTATGTTTAGCCATGACGGCCATATTGGTTAGATGACAGATTCATCGGGTTAATTTTTTCAATCAGATACACTATTGAAAATTGTAGCAAAGTTTAATTATATTTTGCCCAGTAGATCAAGTAGAGAAGATTTATGTAAAAGATTTACTAAAATTGACTTTACATGGCAATAACTCCTTAATGGGTCAATTGACAATTTTGATTATATTGACTTATTTGTAGATCGTACTTTGCTGAACATCATTGCTGTGTACAGTTTATCTCTATCTAAAATAATATTTAAGATAATAACCAAAACCTGCAAAATGTCCTTAAAATTAACAATTCAGGGGCCGCAACCCAACAACAGTTTGTCTGATTCGTCTGAAAATTCAGGGCAGATAGATCTAAACCTGATGAACATTATTTACCCCATGTCAGATTTGCTCTAAATGCTTTAGTTTCACAGATATCAGCCAAAACTGCATTTTATCCTTTTGTAATATTTTTAGCCACGTCGGCCATGCTGATTGGGAGGCGGGGTCATCAGACATTTTTTTTTTAAACTAGATATCCTTAATTGATTGTGGCCAAGTAGTTTCAGAGTAGAATATTTTTATAAAAGTAAACGGACGATGACAGACGACGGACGACGAACGACAAATGACGGACGACGGACGTCAAATGATGAGAAAAGGTCACCTGGCCCAATGGACCAGAAGAGCTTTAAAAATATAACAATTGTCATTTAAGGGGAATAACTTCAAAAAGGAATCGTTGGACGATTTCCGCCATATTGTCTTAATTGTAGATTATTCTTGCTGATCATATTTGCCTGTTTAAGTGTATATCTATCTATAATTACTTTTAATATATAACTCAAATACTGAAAAAAATGGGTAACATCGTCAGCAAAGGGTAATTACTCTAATAATGGGTCGACTGACGATTTCTACCACGGGGCCTATTTGTAGAACTTTCCTTGCTTTTTGCACTTTAAAGTGTCGCTCTTTCCATTTTAGTTTTCAAGAAAAAGGGGAAAATGAAAAAAAAGAATAATAAAATGTGTTATTTAAGGGCAATATCTCTTATAAGAAATCAGTGTTGACGTATGCAACCAGTTGGTAGAGCTCAACATTTTGAACACTTTTGCTTTTGTCAGATTTTTCACTATTTGTAACGGTTTTCAAAATAATAGACATTTCTTGCATATTACTTTAAATGTTCTCTTTTAGACATATCGGCCTACTTAATTGGCATGAGGAGGTCATCGGTCTTATCCTTTTTACTAGATACTCCAATAATGATTGTTGCCATGTTTGGCTAAGTAGTTTTAAGAGGAGAAAAAGTTACCAGACGACGACGGACGATGGATACCAAGTAATGAGAATAGTTTACTGGGTCCTGTGGGCCATGTGTGATATAAAAATAATAAAAGTACAAAATGGCTTAAACCACAACAGATTCCATCTTTATGGGTCTGAAAACTCACCGTTTCATTTACCCCTTTAATGCTAAAAAGGCGATATAGAAAAACGATCCGGGTAAACTTTTCAGACTTATTCAAAACTGTAATGAGATCTTTGAACACCATTGTTATTGGTATAAATATTGTTTGTTATCTGTATATCTAAAATAAAAGATTCCGTATGATTACCAATAAGACAACTCTCCCCAAGAGACCAAATGACACAGAAATGTACAACTATAGGTCACCTACAACAATGAACACATCCTATATATTACTATAGTCAGATATAAATGGCCCATAAATGACAAATATAAAACAATTCAAACGAGAAAACTAACGGCAAAATGTATGTACAAAATAATGAACCATACGTAATATCATTGCTATGCACATATGCACTTTCACGATACTATTATATTTTGGTATTGTACTAGGTTATATTTTTCTCTGACTCTAAATGAAGTCTTCACATTAAATCCATCAGTTGTTGGATGATAACTGATTGGTATTTTAGCCTGAGATAGATTATTTTATATGTCTGGCATGGTTTACTTATCATTGAATTTATGTCGAAAGTGTGTAATATGCAGGTTTTGCTACTGTAACAGGTATCACATAATCTTAACATTGACCAATGAACGATAAAAATTAGGTCAAGTTTATATGAACCCTGCCAGACATATTCACCTCACAATTATTACATTCACGAAATATAATTGACCTATTGATTATGATATCTGCAAAATAGACCAAACCAGAAAAACTGAACATTGTCCAATGAAACATGTAAATGAGGCCAAATTCAAATAAAACCTAGAAGACAGACTTGTTCACCTGACAATCATTCCATACACCAAATATAGTGGCCATATTAATTGTGGTATTTGAGAAATAAACCAAAACACACAAACTAAACATTGTTCAATGAACCATGAACTTGAGGTCAAAGTAAGATGACATCTATCAGTCGGACATGTACCCCTTGCAATCATTCAATATCGTTAACCTATTGCTTATAGTTTCTGGGAAACAGACCAAACAACAAAACTAAACAGTGTTCAATGAACCATGAAATTGAGGTCAAGGTCAGATAAAACATGTCAGTCGGACATGTACCCCTTATAATCACTCCATAAACCAAATAAAGTTGACCTATTGCTTACAGTATCTGGCATACGGACTTGATCACGTAACTTTAATCTTGGTCACTGATCTATGGAATAAGGTCGAGCTCAGGTATACTCTACGTGATGGGCTTGTAGACATTTCAAGGAAATCATACACCAAATATGGTTATTATATTACACATAAAAAAATGTAATTTGTTTTCAAGCAGTCACTGAATCATAAAAATGAGGTGAAGGATAATGCACATATGCCAGACGGAAACTACTTCGTAACAGAAGCTATCTGCATACAAGGTATGAAGCGTCCAGGTCTCCTACCTTCTGAAACATAAAGCTTTAAACAAATAGTTTACGTCGTCGTCGCCGCCGATGCATTGTAATTATACCTATGTCTTCCATACTGCAACTTTCGTCGCAGGCGAGACAAAAACTGCAATAAGGTGTATACTGATTGCTATTTACCCTTATGTTCTAATTTAAATTATGTCGTCCATGTTTGTAGGCAAGCGGAATTTTCGGGCACATTTTTATACAGTACACCCTAATGATGGTTGTGGCCAAGTTTGGTTAAATTTAAATCATTAGTTTCAGATGATTTTTGTAAAAGTACGTGAAGTAATGGCAAAAGCTCACTGCGGGATAGGTGAGCTAAACATGACATTCAGCAAGGGCCTTGCTTGGAGATTTATATTTGAGGCACATATATAATTATGCGAGGCCCATAATACGAACTATCATAATACTGATTCAAACAAAGCAAACATGCCCCTGGGGTTTCGATTTTGTTTACATAAAACTTATTGCTTAACAAAAAACATAAATAGTACTTTGACTTCTTGTTGTCTTTTTTGTGTTCTATTTTTATTGTTTCCTTGCTGTATGACACTTTTTATTTAAGGGATTCCCTTATACACCTTTAGTCTGATCAATCAAGATTAAAAACATTGTCAATGGTTTTCTCTCTGAAACAAAATAAAAAGACATACATGACTGAATGTGGCTTACTTTTATTCAGGGTTGCATATCGAGTTAAACGTGTATTTCTTTATGCTTATCTAAGCTTGGAACATATGCATAATGTTTTTAAATTTTCTTCAGATATCATTTATCTCTAACCTTTTAAAACTGATAATAATATCAAAAGGCTTTAGTATAAATATCTTTCCAATAGTGATCCCATGATTAAAACATATCAACAGTTGCAAATAATCAAGATTATAGAACATTTTAAAGAGCTTATAACAAATGTAAACGGAAATAGCACTACTAAGGACAGCAGTAAAACTCCATAATGTAACTGATGCATTTTTAGGCATCGGTTACACATTCAGGATTTTTACGGCCGTCCTTGATTTAGGACGGTTTTTTTAATTGGTGAAAAAGAAACTACTAAATATATCAGACTTATGATTTGTGCACTTCCGACGCACGTTAAGTCTACAAAAAACCCATCAGTGCCGCTCGAATCTAAAAAGTTACAAGGACTGAACGTTTATGTTACTATGTCAACTAAATTAACTTTGTTTCTTTTTCTTTGTCGTCGACAGTTTTTCCTCAATATCTTTAGTTTATAAATTATGAAGTAGCACTAAATCAAACATTTTAAACATTGCCTTTAAGGGAAAATTTAACCTGACTAGTGGTTGTTGCACAGATTTTTCCTTTTGTTTGAATTTGAGAGGAAATGTATTTTTGAATAAGTCAAAATTATTGTTCATTAATGACATATTTTTTATTATTTCAGAATCATCTCAGAAGAAATAATATTTCATAAATGGGGTACAGTTATATTAACATGATTAATATTATTATTACAAAAGGTTTTTCAAAAAAGTCGTGTCAACATAAATACTTGTTGTGTTACTTCTATGCAGATACGATTTAGTTCATTAGACTTATGTAGGTTATAATTTATATATTTTGCACAGGACCTGAATATTTTGATGCATCTTTAAAGATCTGGCGATGTAACTATATATGGAAATTTATTGGGCCTTTGTACCATATACATGCTACAATCAGTGTTTTCTATGTACTTTAAGTGTACTGTATTCAGGTATTATCTCTGTTTATCCATTTATATTTTTAGTTCAGCACATTTATATATATATATATATATATATATATATATATATATATATGTACTGTGTTTGTCTTGTATTCACCTGTATGTCGAAAATTATTCACAAATCAATGAATGACTTTATATTGTTCTAGCCTAGTTTTCATAGACAGAATGTAGTATTTAATCCTGAATTGATATGTGATTGCAATTTAATTGTATTTATACATTGAAAATATACACTTTAATGGTATAGGTGTAATTCAGTTAGAACAGAAAAAATGTACTGATTGTGTGTCATGGTTGGATACTCCATATCCTTTGTTTTTCTACACGTACCTTTCGTTATATGAAACTAGAGTAATAATCCTTTGCTGTTATGTCAGGAAAAAAATCAATGTTCACTTTCTATAATTGTTTTCTAAATATTCAATAATTTATGACCTGCACTTGTCTCAAAACACTAAGCAATTTTATTGGTTGCCTGTTTAAACTTTGCAAACCCCCTTTCCAAAAATATGATTACATAGGGACTTTTCATTTAAAGTGTTTGAGCCAAGAGAGGTAACTCTAAATTATGTGTGTTCCTATCATGGAATAAATGACACTTTTTTTTTAAGGTCTGTTTCTTCAAATTAGTTTAAGCAAAGAAGAAAGGAATTGTAATCTTGATTTTTGGTACCCGTTCGGAAATAGAATCAACGATCTCCCACACTCCAGACAGGGAAGTTACCATAAGATCACTAAAGCAGTATTAAACATATGTTAGAAATGTATTTCCGTTTTTTAAATTAATATTTAAAATGAATAATATTGTTTCAACTTAATATAGCCGTTTATTGATTTTTTAGATATTCATTTTGAAAACAAACAAAATCTTTTCTACATAATTAAGCTCAATCTAATTAAAAAAAAACAGGGGTCCATGAAACTGTTTTAAGCTTATCATTAAAATCATAGGATTATTTTGGATCCCACTGTTGCTGATAATTTGCGTACAAGCAATATTTCATCTAGCAAATTCAAATATATAATAAAAATATAGCTTCATGTGCTTCTTTAAGAGATGGAATAGAAATTTTTCAAATATTCTCAAAAAATCGGTTTCTTTGACATTTATATATTTTGGTTAGACATACCAAACTTTTTGGTTTCAAAAGATAAACACGCAGAAGGATTTTTGTAAAAACATTTTGAATATCTTTCTTTCATTTCGATGTTGTGTTTTGTGTAGTGTTACAATTAAGTAATCGTATGATTAAATTAATGGATCTCGTGTCCATAATTTATAGTAGTAATTTTACAAATCAGCTGTTTACGTTTTTACATCGCTGTTTTTACGATGAAATTTCACCTCGTTCAGAATATTTACGGTTGGTTGGAAGGTACGTTTATGATAGATGATGTGGGAATGTGTTTACCTTTTTAACTTACTTATTTTCTTAATGTAATCACTTGTATTTTAGCCGTAATCATCTAAATCACAACAGTGTCATAATTTATTTACTCGAGCAGCTATATTAGTTATGTATAGGCGGTTTATTACACGAGATTGCTTGTTTACATAACACACGTTTTGATTGGTTGATCTACTAACCCAAAAATTATAAATACAAGGTTGACAAAACGAACTTCAGATCTAATCTCATCGTCTCCAAGAGCAGTCAAAAATAAGCTAGTCATTATATTTAGTCAACCTTCTAAAAATGTCTAAATCACAGTCATCCTTAAGTGTGGTACGCAGGTTTTAAATGTTTTAAGAAAAACTAAACCTTCTAACGTTAGATTTACCCATGGCTATTGTTTGTTTTGCATAAGTCAGCCTTCAACCTCCGGGAAATTCCCCGTCAACCTTCGTTCTACTTAGTCAATCTTCTATCGGTATAATAATATGAGAGAGGTTTTCTGGAAATCCACTTTCATTTTAAGAGAGAGAATCAACTATTATAAGTATTTTATAATATCGGTAACGGAAGGTTAAAAAGTTCAACCTTCTACCGAATCAACCATCGAAAAAAATCAACCTTCTTGTAATTTTAGTCAACCTTCCTGACCTATAAACTGGATGATTACGGCATGTTGTATATAGATATAAATGTAAAGTTGTCAATGAATTGTAATTTTTTTTATTTTATAGATGATACATAAAGTACATCTGAAAGTTATACCTGACTGAGTTATTATTTCAACCTTATACCAACTCAAAGGATCCATGCAAATCATATTCGATTAAGCCTCTTATTCTAATTAATCTTATCCACTCGGTTTAAGGGACGAAATCGTTACAGTATATAAAAATATATGTGGTATGATTGCCAATGAGACAACTCTTCACAAGAGACCAAATAACACAGAAATTAACAACTATAGGTCATCATACGGCCTTCAACAATAAGCAAAGCCCATACCGCATAGTCAGTTATAAAAGGCCCCTAAATGACAAATGTAAAACCATTCAAACGAGAAAACTAACGGCCTAATTAATGTACAAAAAAATGAACAAAAAACATGTGACAAATCAACAAACGACAACCACTGAATTACCGGCTCCTGACTTGGGACAGGCACATACATAGAGAATGTGGCGGGGTTAAACATTTAAGCAGGATCCCAACCCTCCCCCTAACCTGGAACAGTGGTGTTACGGTACAACTTAAGAACGAACTATAAAAATCAGTTGAAAAAGGCTTAACACATCAGATGGATACAAATAGAAATACATCTAACAAAAAAGTACTTGTACATCCCAACAACAAAAAGACACTAAGTACAGATCTGAGAATACTAGTAGTTACTAACAGCTCGTTCAAAGCCAATAACAACTAATAAAATAAATCATGCGTCTAAGACTAAATTATCAATCATTACACATCCAACATCAAATGGATTTAGTGTAAAGACGTCATAAACAGTCAGAGAAAACATGACCTTGTGCAATGCCAAGATACAGGTACCGACAGATTGTAGATCCATGAATGTGCATATATATATAACAATAATATTTAGTTTGCTTTTAATTTACTGAAAACAAAATCAATATTAATACCAATAAAAACAATATTAAAAGATCTAATTACATTGTTGAATTGGTAACCTTTTAAAAAAAATTTTATTTAAAGGATCGTTTCTAAATTTCCGGGCACTGGAAACAACATCTCCGTAAAAATGAGGATGTGCTATCCCGTTTGAATTAAGTTTTCTACAGGTACAAAAATGTACAACCAAACTTCAAAACCAAATCTTTATATCTATGGAAGAATTTAGGTTTTAAGTAATTTGTGGTAACGAAATTCCTGACTTAATAATTTACCAAAAATACATAGATTACGTTTATTAAAATCGAAAACGTCACAGCAGACTCGGGCATAGCGAACGAGTTGTTATATATAAACACTGTAAGATGGTGCCAAAGGAACATCACCATCCAAAAAAGGAAAATTAACAATAGGTAACGAAAAATCATCTCTATTGTCGTAAATTTTAGTTTCCCGTGTAAAACTGAAATATCCAAATCTAGGAAAGGACAGTTATTACCGTTTACATTTGATTTATTTAAAATAAGTTCCTTTGGGTAAATTTCGGCAGTATATTTAGAAAATGCTTGATTATTTAACGAAAAAATATAAAAGATAATGTTGTTGAATTTATCAATTAAATGCAATTTAGACGGGTCTTTACTGAGTTTGGTCATAAACTGTGATTCATAACAGTACAAAAACAAGTTGCTATTGTTTATTTGTCTTTTTGTTTCTAAGCCACGGCAATGTCACTTTTTTTTCGTCTTATGAGTTTGAATGTCCCTCTGGTATCTTTCGCCTCTCTTTTTCTTTACATAAGTATGCTCTGTTTAACAATTCTTTGATACGTTCATTTTTATTAAATTTTCATGATTTAAAAAAACAGCCTTTCTATGTATATTTATATTTTTTAAAGTAACATCATCAGTGATTTGTTCCAATAGCTGATACATAATCAAGCCAAATGTTATGTTAAAATAGAAGGGTCCAAATGTTCTCGTTTTCTAGCGAATGATTCAAATAAGTTAAAATTTCATCTTTTCTTCATAAGTCAACATAGGATGTCGGAAACGAAAGTTACGTTTGCGACTCCATTATCTTCCCTTTAACTTTTACTGTATGTCCTTCAATCAGTAGAAATAAACATTTCATACTTTGACGTCGCGAATAATACCTTTTTTAGATCGATCTTGACATCATTACCTCTCCTGAATTTGTATCATTTCCCCATACGAATCCTTTCAACAACTTTTTAGGGACTCATAGGTGGCTTATTGTAAGGCTCAATTTCTGACCCTATCAATTATATCCTCATTTTCCATAATCAAACCAAATTTCTAGCCCTTCATCCTGGTCGATATCCTATTGCTTATTTATTGTTGTTCTAAAAATGCAAGAAATATGTGCCACTGGAGGTAAAGCAAAACAACCCATCAATTACTAGTCAGTTGCATTTTCCATGTTTTCCAAATCCAGACTTTGGAATATTTATTTTAAAATCTTCTATGCTCACAAATATTGATAATTGACAACAATTCTCATTTTAATCCAAACTTTTCGTGTTATTTTGTTCATTTCCGTTCAATTTTATATAAAAACGCTTCTGCACACCTCCCAGCAACCAATAATAAATTGGTTGTTCTGTCATAATGTAAGGCTTGTGTTTTTTGTAGATGACAACTATCTGGGAAAAGCTTTCTACCTTTTTGTCCATTTGGTGATATAACTACCACATTGCCTAAGTTTTCACCAACAGCATACACATTACCTTCGTTGTCCACAGAGATCTCTAATGGATGCTGAAGAATGTTTTTGTCTGTGAACTTCCAATTAACTGTACCTTCAAAGTCACAACATGTAACGGAATCGTTATCATAGTTTGTATAGTAAATATTGCTCCCATGGGTGTCAATATATGGGAATATTGAATGCTTAGTAGATATTATATCACTTACAATTTTACCAGCAAGGTCAATCTCCTTTATACCATCGGAAGAACAGTAAATTACCCTGTCGTGTCTTTTTACCAGACCACAGGCAACTGATCGAAGCTGAATATTCCTTTTAATCCTCTTTTCTCGAATATCAATGACAGAGATACTACTAGAAGAGGATACAGCAATACTGTTATCACTTTTTATGTATGTAAGATCACTTGCAGACGCCACCTTTTATTCAAAATTCTTTTCACCGTCATTCCCAATAACCAGGACTTTCTCTTTATCAAAGCAAGTAAATGCCATGCTCCTATTAGGTAAAATACAGCACCCCTTGACGTTTTTAGATTGTGTTTGTATTTGCTGTTGCAACTTTGCGGAAATATTGTCAATCGTTTTGTTGTCTGATTTAGGTACAAACATCTGGGCTTGTTGTTTCTTCTTTCTCCTTAGTTTTGTTTCAGAAAATTTGGTTTCCAAAATAATTTCTCCAAATCTTTGTACGCTTTGTATGATGGTGTTAACTGATTCATCAATTTTCTAAGTAATCGTCATGCTATTCACCTTGTCTCCATCAACGCGTGATAGAGTAAATTCTTCTTCTTTGGCTAAATCCTGCTCTATTTGTTTGATTGACATAAATAATTGTAGATCAGACGCATTGTGCTTGATATTGACAATTGTATTTTGGTAATTTTTTAATTTATCTTCTTTTTCTTCTAATGCTTTCGACAGCTGGAAAACTTTTTTACTTTCGGTTTCCTCTACTTCTTGCAGTTTATCTACCAACTTCTGCTGTATTTGATTGAGATGGGTATTGATCTTAAAACGAATGTTCTGAATTTGTTTTTCAATCTGTTTTCTGTTTTCTGATAGTGTAGTTATATTTCCCTTGTATACCTTTTGTATTTCTTTAATATTATCTACAACTTCAGCAAGCGTTTCCTCAATTTCTTCAAAAGAGGTCGAGGTCTTTACGTTCTTGACGATGTCGTCAAGATTGATTACTTCGCTGCACCCTTTATGGCCTTCCATGGCACATTTGCCACAACACGGTAATTCATGATCTTTACAGTAGAAAAGGAACTTTTCATCATGCTTGGTACACGACTGAGGGATCTGCAGAACATGTAGAGGTAGTTTCTGATATTCAGTTATTGGCATCGTCTTGTGATGTCTGGTTGCCTTCGCTAAGCTGTGGTGTTCTATACAACCAGAACAAAACCCTTCGTCACACTCTGAGCACCAGGATACGGTTGGTTTGGTCACATGACGAAGATCACAAATACTACAAATATGTGCTGCACTAGCCATTATAAGACTACGTTTAACTGCAAAATAAAAATTAACATTGCGTATGGAGATTTAAAACAGACAAATCAGATGAACGTCACAAGAAAAAAAAATGCTACATTTATGATAGTATTGTTACAGTTATCCTGTCTTTAATCTGAAGATGATTTTCTGAAACGTGTGCTACTTTATTTGCCCTCTTTCATTTAGTGTGTTTATCTTATTTATTATGCATTCCACCCAAATAATTTGTACCATGTATACGTACTTCCCGTTATTTTACATGATATATGTTTATCTTGAATGCCCCTGGTTGTATACATGCCTAGTTTGTTTATGTTTTAACAGTTATATTGTCGAGTAAATTTTACAACATTTATTATATGTGCTTGCCATATACATGTATAATGTATAATTCGTTGATATTAACCCGTTGCTGTGTTTATTGATCCACCGATGATACATGACATGACATCATCGACATTTATCAAACAATTCTACTCAAACCGGCACAAGGGAGCGTCTTAAACTTGTAGTTATGTGAGCCTGTTTGCTCCATTTTGAAACTCTCCCTGTTGTTTTGAGATGAAGTAGAGCAATAAAAGCGATTTCATGTTTATACAGTTATAGTCATAATATAAAATTGAGATGTGGTATAATTCAAAATTAAAGACCTCTTAATCATATAAACAGCAAACAAAAGGACGAGAATGTGAACCGTTACATGTTACATAAGGGCCTTCACAATGAGTAAATACAGTTCATAGATCTATAAAACACCTGATTTACGCTTATACATACAACTACTGACTTACAGTCTCCTGGGCTGGGATGAGCAAATAAATAAAACACTAAACTTGTTTGATAGCGATCATACATCCCAATAACCTTGGACAGTGATCATGCACTAAACATTTATCATGTTTATGCAAAGTATACAAATCATCAAAACATAATGAAATGACTAAAGACAGAAAGGACCGATCTAACAAAACATGCAACTACTATTAGAAGTACAGACAGCATGCATTTTTGGGTCACTTTGCAGGCATAAACAACAAATTATTTATGTTAACTCACTTACGGTAAATGGGGCGCAATTTGGCATTTTTTTTTTTTTATTAATTTTTGTTTGAAACAGTATAATTCATATTGCCTAGTTAAAATGTATATCAAAATAACTCTCATGCCTGCGGTAATATTGCATAAGTTGCAGGGATTTTGCAATAAGTCTGATAGATTATCGATTGAAGACCATTTATGATTTCTTAAAGAATCTTCCATCATATTAATTAATGCACCAAACAAAATCCCATAACCGTTTAAGAAAAAAAAAACATCCGATGAATTCAAATATTCAAAACTATATGATTTTGTAGAAAACCAAATTTGGCTTCTGCTTCTTATGTATGGGGAATAAATATACATGATGTAAAAATAGCTTGCAAAGCAAGGTATTTAAATGTTCACCAAGACTTTAGCAAACGAAGCAGCAATTTAGTTGCTACAGGTGATATGGGTTTTTATCAGTTGATGGTCTATCAAAATTTCAAATTATTGTATCGTGTTTAATGTGACAAAACCAGTATAATATGCAAAATGGTTTATACATTGGCGATTAGATGAAAATCGTTACGGGATTATAGAGCTTTACAGTTAGGGCGTAAATATGAGTGAATTGATAATGTAGAAGATGATATTAATTTGAGTAATTTGTTGGCTTCTATACAAACTTCTGAAAAAGAATCTTGTTATTAGGAGATATGGAATGATAAAAATTATTTCATTAGTGATAAATCAAGACATTATCGATTGTTTAAAACTTGTATTGGCACGGAGCCTAATGTTAAGTTCGATAATAATAGATGCCACCGACGTATTTTGTCCCTATTTAGACCTGGTTCGTTATAATCAATTTGAAGTTGAAACAGGACATATGCTAGACCACTATAATCTCTACAAGTTTGTGTATTTTTTATGATAGGGGCAAAATTGAAGATGAGAAGCACTTTCTTTTTAATTGTTGTTTTACTTTGATATTAGACATGAATTATATGCCAAAGCCTGTCTTTTAAATGTGGATTTTGATTATCTATCTGATATTGAACAAGTCAGTTATCGTATGTGAAATGATAATATGGTTCCACTTTCAGCTAGTTCAAAAAATGAACTAATATTTTATACATGTACAGTTGTTGTCTTTTGTGTATATATTGGATGCCTGTTTTAAGGATAGTGTCTCAAAAGTTGCTTTCGGCTAGCATCCTTTAATTAATGATAGGTTTTTTATGATCTTGTGAACATATTTATGTAGATAATGAATGGATGGTGACACTTTTATAAAACTGGATTATCATATATATATCTTATCTCATTAATCTTATCAAAATTGGTTCAGATGGAATTTGTCAGAGAAGACATGTCCCGGCAGGCACTCAACGTTGAATACACGTTGAAAATATGTTGAAATTTGGTTGTAGCTTTGATTAACGTAAATACAACGGATTATCAACGTCAATCGTATCAACGTTTAAATCACGTCATTGAATCATAATTGATTTTTGCATAAAAATATCAACATAGAATTGACAACGTTAAATCAACAATGAATTTAAGTTGATGCTTTCTAAGTTTTAAATAGGTTAAAAATACAACGTTGATAAAAGGTATATTTAGTGTCGATAGAAATTTCGATCCAGAATGAACCAAATTTGGGATAAAAAGGTTATATTTATGTTCAATATGAGACAGTTGTTAGTTGACAGAAGAAGTAAGAATTATTGTCGTGATACTTTTTGGTAATCAGACATATACATATTAGCGGGAAATCGTTAAACTGTTAATAATTTGGAATTCACTATCGGATAGATTTTGTTTTTTTTTTTGTTTTTTTTTTTTTTTGTTATTGATTTCTTATTGTTATTTGAAACCCGAAGACAGGCATACATCTTTAGCAGATTTCCCTTGTAGGACTCAAATCTATGGCGGGTTCCAGATCTATGGCAGATTCCTAATCTATGGTAAATATGACGTCATACCATCCCCAATCTATGTAACATTTTTTAGAATCCTAATCTTTGGTATTTTTTTTAGTTTCCTAATCAATGGCAATTTTTTAGTTTCCTAATCTAAGGCGGATTTCTAGTTTTCAAATCTATGACAGATTTTCTGCAAATGGCGGACTAGTCATGACATATCTGACCAATGATTTCAAAGCTGCCTTAAATAAGTCGAAATGTCAAAAGGTAGCGAAAAATCTGCTTTTAAGTAAAAACCAGTATAAGAAAAAAGGAGTCCGTCTAGGAAGCGTTACCCATAACCATTTGTGAAATGAACATAGATAGACTGTAGGGGTGAAATGATGTGCCCCAGAAGAATAAGCACTTTCTACTCTGTGCATGGTACCTGTTTGACCCTTCGTTTAACCAAGTCCCTAAACAACCCGAAACGCAGTTTGACTTTTAACCTAATGTTTATTTGAGCATTGATAAATATTTTTTAACTGATGACGATTTAAGTCATAGTCTTGTAATGAACTACGACTTGCCTCAAACACGTGGATTTCTTTAAAAAAATCCGTATTGCTCCAATAGTACAGTTATTCGACATAAATATAGCAGAAAAAAATGTAAAAATCTAAGACCGATTTTTTTTTTTTCACCAATCTCAAGAAAGATTATTTGCTACAATAGTACAGGTAGTCACTGTTATGTAGCTGACAACATGCTATTCGTTATGTTAAATAAAACGAAAATTAAACAGAACATATGGATAAAAAAAACAACAAGAAAACAGCATATCACCACGACAAATTATGAAAGAAAAGCAAAAAGCAAACCAAAAAGCAACAAACTCGAAATATAAACAACAAAAACACCAAAAACATATGCATTTGTGTGAAATTGCCTGCACCAATGATTTTGCTGCTACGAATGACTATGGGTTTGTTCGCTAGTATTCTTATTTTGTCCGAATCAGATGATTACATCTTCTCATTTGCAGTGATTTCGTTAACGTAAACTCGAATTCTGAAATATAATTCAAATTATGGATTAGGGTCCTTGAAAACTGGCCTTTTCTTTTCCTTCTATATATTACGTAATATCAAAATCGGCCATAGATTTGGAGAAAACAAAAAAAAAACTGCCATAGATTTATGATTTTTTTAACATTTGTGACGTCATATTTCCCATAGATTAGGAATTTGCCATAGATATGGAACCTATCATAGAATTATTGTCGTGATACTTTTCGGTAATATGACATATACATATTAGCGGGAAATCGTTAAACTGTTAATAAATTGAAATTCACTATCAGATTAATTTCGTTTTTTTTATTTTGTTTTGTTATTGATTTCTTATTGTTATTGTAACCTCAAGACAGGCATATATCTTTAGCAGTTTTTCCTTAGATATCCGCTCCAAAAATTATTATTTGACAAAGATTTCTTTTTGTTAGTATTGTTTCTTTCTGTTTATATATAGGTTTACTGATGTTATAGATATATTTAATAACTATAGTGTTGTTGATATAGCGATGATGAGTTGTTGAGATATCTTGTATTTATTTTTTGTATCTTGTTCTCTTATCAAAATAAATGCCTTCCATGTTGCATCTACCTTTAAACTGAGTCTACTTTAACATGTTTATTTAGTGGTATCAGCTTTAAAATATATTTTTGTTTGTGGTTTGTCTATTTTTCTATTTTAAAAGCACATATTTGGCTTTAGTTGGGACTTGGATTTGCCTTGTCGATATGTTTTTGTGATTGATTATCTTAAGTTTACGTTGTCTACAAATTTTAAAAGAGAAAACGGTTCACCCTTCCCTATTAATAGATCCTTCCTTACCCACTAGCAGATACATGTATTAAAATAGTCACTGTCTGCCACTAGAGACTAATAGACCTGACGTATTTTCCAGGTAGATTCCCCTTTCAAAAATTGCTGCATCCACATGTTTACAAGAAAACACGATATATATTCAAATTAACATGATAAAAGCGAATAAATATTTTTTAAATTTTCGAGGTAAAATATTTTAAATACGCAAACCTGATTTTTGTTTTTCATTTGGTGAATAAGTACGGCCGACATTTCGAATTTATTTGCGCCATTTTGAATACCTCAACAATTTCTCCAACGTTTTGTTTATATATTTTAAGTCAACAGTTTGTTTTTAGCATAGCAAAGTAAGTATATTGTTAATTCATGGCATGCTTTTATGTATAACAATTTGATGTCAACAGAATAGTAACTGTAAGTATTCGATGTCCCCACAGGCAGTGATTTGTGGCATATTAAAAAGAGATTTTGTCACCAATACTATTTAATGTGCTCTAACATATTTGATTACCCAATTTTTTTAAAGTTTATCTTATCGAATTCTTTCCAAATTAATTTTTTTGTCATCCAATCTGAACTCAATTTAAAAAAAAACCCACATGGTTACCCTCAGTATTTTTTTGTAAAAAATAACAATATCATCAACCTATTTTCTAATAATCAATTCCATAACATTTCAAAAACTTTTGATTCTAGTTTCAGGGGTTAAATTTGTTAGATACTGGACAATCAGAATAAATAATGCATTTGCCTCTTGAAATGAAGATTGAAACTATCTCAGGTATAGTAGACATTATATGGATTTCATTATTCTTTGTTATGTATTTTTTTATTTCATAGCTCCTTCCGTTTTCAAGTATTTATAAATCTGTGGCTTTCAAATATTTGGGTTTTTGAGATCCTCTTTAATGTCAATCGAGACATGTGCTTGCGACACCCCAACTGTAACAAGTGTTACTTTTACAAGCACAATTCAACAGTAAAGAAAAATAAGTGTAGCAAAGAATCGTCCGTCAATTTTTATGGATATAGTTTTTTCAACAGATACATTTTCTAAAAATATATATGGTTTACATGTTATTCTTCTGTTCAATTTTCGGTCATGATTGCCGTGCTAGTTGAACATGTTGAAGAGGTCAAGATCTTCAAAACAAAGTCAAATAATGTGCGTAATTCAATATCCTTTGGATTCATAATCATCTCGAGTTTGGTTTCAATTATGTCAATAGTTTAAAAAGAAAAAAGATCTTTGACACAGATTAACTCAGAAAGTAGATGCTCACATCCAGTACCACCCACTGACCTTAATATCATATGAGCTAAAAATAATCGATCTGCTACGTAATTAAACATGATAAAAATGAAACAACATTGTCGTTCAAAATACTGCCTTAAAAAATATCAGATTCCAAAGTATCCGATAATGGAAAAAACCTATTGACATATCAATGTATCAAATGGAAGCCTTGTAAATACCTGAAACGAGCTTTGAGTTCTGACAAAAACAGCGACGAAAACGAGGAAGGTATACAGGTAAAAATAGAAATTGATCACGTGGTGGCCGGGAGATATGACTACAATGTAAACCGATAAACAAAGCAGTTCAAGGATGTTTAAATGGCGGTTTAATTCAAAGGTTGTTTCGAGATTAGAGAAAGTATATTAAATAAGGTAAGATTGATCAAACAAAACAGGAATCGTTGATTATTGTGACAAAATATAAGTTTAAGACATAATAAAAACCTTCGACACCATATGTTTTACAGATCTAATCACCACCACAGCTGTTGAATTACAGGATTCGACATCTTTCAACGGGATGTTATCATACTGATATGTATTTACAACCTGCTAACATTTTAGGTAAATGAAGTAGGTTCCAATACAAAAAAAAATATATTCTTTGACTAAAGACAGGGAACTCGATATAAATTTACTTCTTATTCTTATCTACTAAAATTACCCGCGCAAGGGAGTATCTGGAAGGGGGCTTCATTTCTGCATTGTTAAACTTTAACTGTTTTTTTTCGATTATCATTCTCTATCTTTTTTAAATTTTGTCCATTCTTTAAAATATTTTGTATTTTTTTTTCTACATTCTGTTTTTGCTCATTATAATCTGATAATATACTCTAAAAACTTTTCTAAACGTTCAGGAGGGTTACTTTAAATTAAAAATTTGAAACATACAGCCGGATCAGTCTTTTCTTATATTTCAATAATTCAAGTTTGAAAAATTTCAACAGTAAATAAAATATTATCATGATTCAACCAACTTTAGTGTTAATATTTTATCAATGAAACTGAACTTTTCCGGCTAGGCTATAATATATGTTAAACTTGGACGGTGCAAATGGACAATACGTTAATAATATAAGGTATCGAAAAAAACATTTGCTGGACATTATAAGTAGTTATTTACTATACATTGAATATAAATGAATTTGCATGGGTGTAATTTGCAGACTCAACAATAGTAAAACACAACTGGAAACGTCTTTAAATCTAAGTACCAAGTATGAATATGTGTGCACTTCAGAATATTCTATGGTTTGTATCCAATTTTCAAAACGAAAACAAGATTATGTTTTAACATGTTTAAGACTATATATGATTATGCAAGAACAACCTGCTCTCAATCGATGTTATATTTGTTCAAGTTGTGATTCGCATTTCCCGGAAGTCCCGCTAATGCATTTTATTCGTATCATATGTTTTACAGTACATGGACATGGTGATGAAATGTATTTTTATTTTTTTTCTTTGTATTTGTCTCTTTTTTTAGTTTTACAGACAATAAAAAGACATGAATAATGGAAAAGCGGAATTAACAAAAAGAACAGTGTAATTACTAACGTGAATATGAATTTCCTTTAAACCTCTTTGCATGTGTCTGGACCAAAAGTGAAATATTTAAAAAAAAATGTACATTATCTGTGATTCAAACAACTTCATTGGTTTAAGTTCAACAAATCATACTTATACTAATATCTAAATCTCTTTGTGCTCTCAATAAAAAGGTATAAATGATCCAAAATTCTGTATTCGATTTCTTGATCCAACTGTACAGTAGCAGTTATAGAACATACGTTGTTCGTTGGATGATATCTCTTAGTATTCATGTTTATCTTCAATCATACAGATAAGTGTCGCTTAGTCAAAATGAAAATACTCCATATATTTCTCAGTAGTTCCTATTTCAAGCGATTGTTTAAAGTGGACCACACCTGAAAGCCGGTTCATTGATTATGCATATCAATACAAGAAAATATAGGATATACTTCATTCAGACATCAGCCCAATCATAGCACAATATCAAAAAACACTATACTGTCTTAGATAAGTACATATGCAATCTGTGAAGCACTTTATTGTTTCAAATCTAGTGAAGGAATGACTGTAATATTTTGTTTCTGTCTATGACGAAATAACATAAAAAAAAGTGATGCACACTGCATCAACTGCGTAGTGGGTTATTTAAAAGTGTGCACTATATTTTTCATGCATTTGTATTTGACAAAAAAAATATTACAATCAGTCCTTATAATGTAATTCAAAATTCCATGTTTAAGTAGTAAATCACGAAAAAACTTGGTGACGTCATGGTCACATGACAAAATGAGCTGATAGACAAAAGAATTTCAGCCAATCAGAAGACGTGTTACATCCAAAATTAAATTACGAACTGTTAATTATTTTAACAGAGATTATCAAATAGCTGTCATCAACACCAAATCACCGTATTATTACAAAACGGGATTGAGATATAACTAAAAAACAAAACAACACAAGGTTCTTTACCTAGTGGAGGCGCATTGCACCATGCGTTTTCTTAAATTTGAACCATGTTTCTTAATTTGCTCGAACAATTTGAAATTATTTAAATTAACAAAAACGAAAATATATAAGCTGCAAAAAATACATTGGGACTGTCGAAGAGATAATCCCCGTATCATATACTTAAATAAAATTTTATGTATATGGTATGCGAGATTTTGTTTTAAAATTCGATGTATCAGGCATGTGCACAGTTCCTTGAAGAAGTAAAATAACCAGATTCAAGGTAAATGAGTTACTTTTCAGAGTTATAAGTTTGATACTCACAAAATGTTAAAAGTTCGACTTTTAAATAGAAATTAAAAAACAAACATTTTAGAATAAATATTTTTTTCCCTACGTAGCCTAAAAGTGTCAACTTCATTTGATGTCAAAATTCATGATAAATCAGGTAAAATTTCGAAAACAAAATCAAAATACATAGTTTTGAAAATCATATATTGATCAAAAGTGATCAGTGATCCCGAGGATTGACTTAGGTATAGAAAAATAGTCCCTTTGACTTCTACTATCTGGCAATAAATTCCATCGTGAGGAGGTGTTTGCTGGATATATAAATACACAGTCACGTCCGGTCAGAATGGATACGTTAGACCTGAAGAAAGATTGCTATCAGTCTATCAGCTCATTTTGTCATGGGACCATGACGTCACCAAGTTTTTCGTGATTTACTCCTTAAAAATGGAATTTTGAATTACATTATAAGGACTATTTGTAATATTTTTTTTTGTCTAATACAAATGCATTAAAATGTGGTGCACACTTTTAAATAACCCGCTACGCAGGTGATGCAGTGTGCATCACTTTTTTTTTTTATGTTACTTCGTCATAGACAGAAACAAAATATTACAGTCATTCCTTCACTAGATTTGAAACAATAAAGTGCTTCACAGATTGCATATGTACTTATCTAAGACGGTATAGTGTTGTTTTGATATTGTGCTATGATTGGACTGATGTCTGAATGAAGTATATCCTATTTTTTCTTGTATTGATATGCATAATCAATGACCCGGCTTTCAGGTGTGGTCCTCTTTAAACAATCGCTTGAAAAAGGAACTACTGAGAAATATATGGATTATTTTTATTTCGACTAAGCGACACATATCTGTATGATTGAAGATAGATAATTTGCAACAACTCTTTGAGTGTTGTTACCTGTTGCAATTGATACTTTAGACTGATTGCCTTCCCATTTCAATTTTACCCTCTTTTTCAAGTGGCAGGGCAAATTTCCCGTCATTGGTCGAGGCACACCAGTTTTGAAAAACCTACTGTTTTGATAAGTTCTTAAATTTTGTTTTTGTCCTGGATATACATTTAAGCCACCGGCGTCAAATTAATATCAATCAATCAACCAATCTGTATAAAAGTTTTAATTTACAATTCGATACATGTTAAAAAAAACGGACAGTAAAAACGCAGAAAAGTTAACTGTATTTGTAATGTCCTCCTGTTTTTTCTCTAAACTCTTTCGCTTTCATGCACTTTCCGTCTTCATGTCCCACCCTTTCTTCGTTACTGTTTCAGTTTTTCCTGTTATTAATTTTACCTTATTTAGCACACAAGTGCATCATTGCGTTGACAGTAGCTACGCCACTCTCTCAAAACATTGGTCTCATAATGACACTGTTGCAGGATATTCTGTTTCAACTAAAATTTACAGGTGTATTATACAGGAAGTTTTTGAATTAATAATCTTTTAAACGATGTTGGGTTTTTGCGTACGTGTGTCCTTTGGTTGTTGTCTCATTGACATCTATCCCAAATTTTCTTTTATCCTTCTTTATTGTTTTTTTATATATAGAACAATAATCAAATCATTCATAAACCGTCAATAATGCATTTCAATTTATATTGCTAAGTATTTTTAACAAATAAAAAGACGATCATTCGAACCACTTTAACCTTTAAGTGCTCTATAAAATGCATACAACTATTCGTTTTCAAAGCCTTTTGTTAAAGTTGTGCGTCATTATCACTACAAACCAGTACAAATCTGAAATGGTCTATATCTGTACTCGACTGTACTGATTTTTACTCGACCAGTCTGAATTGGTCTGAATTGTACTTGATTTTACTCAACCTCAATCTTAACCATACTCAACTGTACTGAATTGTACTTGACCCTTTATCTTTGTCATTCAAAAAGTCTGAATTATTACTCGAACAGTCTCACCCCATTCTCGATCTGTACTCCACCAATACTCGACTAGTTCTCTACCTATTTTTGCAGTCTGAACCATACTCGACCAAAGGTCTGAACCAAACTCGACCAAAGTCTGAACAATACTCGACCAGTTTGAAACATACTTGACCAAATAACCTTATTTTTTTTTTATTTTAACTGTTTATATAACTATCTTTTTAACTGAAATATCAACAGCCTAAATAAAGTAAAGATATATTTACAGATATTTTATTCTTACATGATTATCAGATCTATCAAATCGAGATAGGCAAATTATTTAATTTTAAAGTCTGAGTCTTGGTAAAAAACAGATTTTCTTTTACCTGAAAAAAAACACCTGTTCTGAGGGTAATAAAACCTTATCAAGGTGCTTCTTGTTTGCCTTGTAGGTAGTTCATTTTAACAAAAATTAGTTCACCTAAATTCTTAAATTAAAACTTCATAGGTTTCGTGGTTACATACAAAAGATATGTATTTATCGTTTTAACTGACATAATTATAGTCAACAAAATCACTGAAATTGTTTAACCTTGTATCAAAATTATATCTAATCTTATTCTAATTTGGAATATTCATATATAAGGAATAAAAAATTAAATAAATTATTGAAATTGTTCTTCGGCTCAATGGCAAACTATAAAGTAATCCCAGCAGGCACTCAACGTTGATTAAACGTTGAAATCAGGTTGAAATGGTAGCATACGTTTATTCAACGTTGAAACAACGTTAAATTTTCAACGTTTAATTATAAACATATATCCAACGTTTATTCAACGTTAAGTATTTCAACGTTTAAATTTCAACGTTGAATTAACGTTGTAAGGAATTTTGAAAATAACTATATATATGTATTCCTAAACAGTAATTAAAAATTAAAGAAATTAAAAAAATTGATAAAAAAAAATTATTGGCAAAAACTAAAAGATGAAAAAAATGGTCTGTTCATTTTTCCCGTTTTGAAATCAAATTAAAAATTAATATAGTTAAAATTAATTCGTGTAAATTTTTTGAATAAATTTAATCACACTGATATACATGGCAATTTAACTTTGTCATTATGATAATGAAAATTATATCATCTCCGGATTTAATAACAAAATAACGAAATCTCAGTTTGTCTATAGTAGCTATATATTCATATTTCGCGGGATTAATGCATAACAGGAAGTTTGAACACTTTACGCATGCGCAAAACAACCACGCGGCCTTTTTGCTATTGTATACGAATATTTCAAAAGAGCTAGGAACGAAGAAAAACTATTTATTTAGTATATATCGATATATAAATGGTAAGTGATTGTTTTTATGAGGCCATTACGGCTATTTCAAATACTGAATTATATCAATATTGCACAATCAGTGAAAATGATGTCAACAAATGTTTATTATCTTCACACGTAAGGAAGGGATTGAACCCTCTGAATTTTACTTTTGAAGACCAATGTTAGAGCGTGTATGTAATCTGTTCACTTATGTAGAAAAGTTTGTTCAAGAAATAAGATTAAAACGATGATTGTCATCATTTAGACAAAGAAGATGTACATGTAAATGAAAAAAGGGGGAGGGCGGTACTGTATGCTAAATTTAGTCTAGTAAATTTGCATAAAATTTCTCAAAAAATTGTCAAATTCCAAACCATTCAGTTTTCTGTAAACTTTTAATTTAAGACAGACGAAATATGCCTCCTGTCTGTTTGTGATGCTCTGCGTCATGTACACTAATATACAGAGTTCTACTTGAAGAACGAAAAAAAGATATTTATATACATGTATTGACAGGAATAAATACAATCTGGCCACACAAGTTTTGGTTGTCACGCCACATGATAATATTAGTTTGAGTAATTGCATGATGCATGTTTAACAATCGTGTGCCTGAGGGACACATATGTGTTGACTTGACCTTGGTTTTGCCAATGAAACACATTCTCTTACATGTACATTGTAGGTCAATGTTTTAATCTATGCAAGCCTCTCGTCATGTCATGGGGATCAAAGAGTATTTTTCTTCAATTGGTTTCAATTAATACAATACCCAAAACACCTGATCATATTTATGCCTCCACTGTAGCAGAGGTGCATTAAGTTTTACTCTTGTCCGTGTGTACGTTCGTTTGTACCCAAGTAGGTTTCTCATAGATTATTCAAAGATTTAGAATGTGTCAACAAAAACATTCTCTGTAAACAAACTGATTTTTTACAAAGAAATTGAATACAATAGAAAACTGTTCCTGCCTGCCGTTACTGATAATTTTTAAATGTTTGGGGGAAACCAACATTTATTTTTTCAATGGCCTTAAATGTATGGAAAGCAAGACTGTCAAGAGGGATAAACACACCAGCATGTGATACACCTCTGATTCTGAGAAAACACTATGGTCAAAAAAATATTACAGAAAAGCATTAACTTTTTGAGTGTGCAGGAAACATAAAACTGGAATTTCTTCCAAACTAGATTATGTATGTGTACTTATTTTATTGTCAGATGAATGTCCTGATAAATATTATTGTTTTTAAGTCATAAGTCATAATTGAAATGCTGTGGTTTAATTTGGACATAAATAAGTCTAGGTAGGTTGTAATTTGTACATTTCAAAGTTTGTTGACAATGTGTGTTACTAACTTTACTAATACAAAGCATGTTTTATTTTAACAGTTGGCATGTCTTACTTAAAAAACTGGAGAAAATATCATACAGAGGCTGACCTTCTTGCTCAGTCCAGTGAAAGTGAGAACAATGAACAAAATCAAAATGCTGTAGATAGATCAAGAACTGATAGAAATAATTCTGCATCTGATAAACATTTTTGCGATGGTAATGATAGTAGTGATTCCCTTGATCACTCATTTGTACCTGTTTATACAAGTAGTAACGAAGAATTAAGTTCTACAGAATCAGAATATGACACTGATGAAAGTGAAAAGGCAGATGTTCCAGATTTGGTTCAAGATCTGTCAGAATGGGCTACCAAAAACAACTGTACACGTTCTGGTTTAAATGATTTGCTCTCTATTTTAAGAAAGCAAGGTCTACGCGTTCCGTGTGATGCAAGGACCTTATTGAAGACTCCAAGATCAATCGCGTCCATACAGAAATGTGGAGGTGATTATTTGTATCTAGGTATAGGAAGTGGACTGCTTAAAGTACTTGCCACTCAACAAGAATATTTTGAGAAAAGCAAATGTAGAAAGTTAGCATTAACATTCAATATAGATGGTGTCCCACTCTTTAAATCTTCTGGAGTGCAAATGTGGCCTATTCTTTGTAGTATTAAGAATTTTGAGCCTTTTGTTGTTGCTCTTTTTTTGTGGAAATGCAAAGCCTAGTACAGTAAATGAATACCTTGATGATTTTTTGCATGAACTTTGTGCACTTAAACAAAATGGATTAAGGTTTAATGAAACTGATTTTAATATAGTTTTAGAAGCTATGATTTGTGATGCGCCAGCAAGAGCTTTCTTGAAATGCATTAAAGGACACAATGCTTATTACAGCTGTGAAAGATGTGTGATAAAAGGCACATGGAAGGGTCGAGTAGTGTTTAACATTGGTGATGATTTACCTCCTTTGCGTTCTGAAGCATATTTCAATAACTTTGAATACAATAATCATCAAGTTGGATTATCACCATTAGTGCATGCAGGTATATCTTGTATTAAAAATTTTCCACTGGACTACATGCATTTAGTTTGCTTAGGAGTGGTTAAGCGAATTTTACAATTTATTAAACAAGGTCCAAGAGAGTGTAGACTTTCTCACCAGCAGATTCAAGTTTTATCTGATCGTCTAATGTCTTTAAATGGGAAAATGCCCAGAGAATTTGCAAGACAACCACGCTCTTTGTATTATTTAGATAGATGGAAGGCTACCGAGTTCAGGCAATTTTTATTGTATACAGGCCCAATAGTTTTGCGCTCACTTGTCTCAAACCAACTGTATGACCATTTCCTGTCGTTGACAGTTGCTGTTTCAATCCTCTTGGAATCTAACGATGAGCGTAGAAATTCACTAGTTGAATATGCAAGAGAACTACTTGTATATTTTGTGCGAAACTGTCATTTAATTTATGGAGAGACATTTGTGTCTTACAATGTCCACTCGTTAATACATTTGGCTGATGACATAATGAACTACAACAAATCAATGAATGATTTATGTGCTTTTCCATTTGAAAACCATTTGCAAAAACTAAAAAAGAAGGTAAAGAAAGCTCAAAATCCAATTGCTCAAGTAGCAAAACGATTACATGAATTGGAAAAAGCAAAGTGTAGACAAATACCACAAAAAATCCATATATATGTATCAACAAGAAAGAAGGACAGTTGTTTTTTATTGAAAAACAATAAGTTTGCCTTCATAAAGGAGAAACGAAATGACAAATTTGTGTGTGATGTTTTTGGACGACATTATTTAGAAAGCTTTTTTTCTAAACCATGTGACTCTAAGATATTGGACATTTTAGTGCTGAAAGATATAAGAAGAGGTTCACAGAGGATTTTATTGGACCGTAACGATTTCCAGAGAAAGGTTGTTTGTCTACCTTTTGACAGAGGTTATCTTCTAATTCCGATGCTGCACAGCATGGAACGTTTCTAAACACTTCTAGAACATGCTGAACTGTAATTGTCAGCTTGGGTAAGTGTCTTTTAATGCATCACTGCATGTTCACTCATGAATGTATTGATCATGTTGATTCCTTATAGTTTTTGATTGCAACAGCTAAAAATGTTAGATCTCACTTTAACATACAGAATCGCATGTATTTATTGGTAATGACTAATGTATGATGTTCAGTACATGTACATTGTAAAGTGATCAACGATACCAAGAGAAAATTGGACCTCAGGTCCAAAATACTTGTCAGCATTTGAGAAAAAGTATTGCAACACTTTACACATGAATTTGAGTCAAGATCATAAAGATCAAACAAATGACCTGTATTATTAAGAACATTATAATAAAAAAAATTAAACATATTTTATTCAGTTTTGAATTTTAAAAAAATCATAGAAATGATACATTTTTTTATACATGTTTTAATATATCAGTATATACTACACATAAATTTTAACAGACTCAATGAATTTCATTTATATGTACATTGAAAATCCAGAGGTTTTTCTTCAGGTTGCTCTTCATTATTCAAGTGTGTTTTTGACGTTGTTTTGATGACTTAATTTTATTACAGGAAACAGTCAACATAAGGAAAAAGTGGTGTAGGGCAGTATGGATAGAAGAAGATCATGAAGAAGAAGGTGTAATTCCTATGATTTGGACAGATGGATTAAATTTTGTAATGTGGCCATCATGGTCCAAAAATATATCAAAAGTGGTGCAAGAAGGACGCCAACCAGATGATCGGTGGGAAAAATTCAAGCTGAAAAAGATCAAACATAGATCTGGTTAGATTCATTAGAATTTATTATAGCATGATCATTTCTTCAGTTCGAGTTATTTATACATAGATAAAGGAAGATGTGGTGTGAGTGCCAATGAGACAACTCTCCATCCAAATAACAATTTAAAAAAAAGGTAAACCATTATAGGTCAATGTACAGCCTTCAACACGGAGCCTTGGCTCACACCGAACAACAAGCTATAAAGGGCCCCAAAATTACTAGTGTAAAACCATTCAAACGGGAAAACCAACGGTCTAATCTATATAAAAAACCGAGAAACACGTATATATTACATAAGCAAACGTCAACTACTTTACATCAGATTCCTGACTTAGGACAGGTGCAAACATTTGCATGTATATGTTTCAACACTCTAAACTACAGTAAAACTAGATAAATACCTTATTTTTTTATGTGATATTGTTTTCATAGGTTAAATTTAGATTTTCATAGGTTAAAATTTAGATTTTTATCAATAATTTACAACCCAACTTCCAGGTCCTGAAGTCTATTGTATGAAATTGTAGTTTCAAATCTTGTTTTTTATATGATTTTTTTGTGCTTTGTAGATAGCAGAAGAGAGTGTGACCTATATGATGACACAACAACTGCAGAAATGTCTGTTGACGATGAAAATGATGATGATGATACTCAGGAGGTTTCAAAAAGAGTGTCCAAAAAAAAAGTGTATGCTGATTATTTTGTTGGTATGTAATACAACTCTATGGTGCATAATTAAGCAAAATTTGTCTTTTTTTGCTAACAGTATATAATATATAACTGGTCTATCTACAGCTTTGTATGTCTGATATGTGTCTTCACTTTTAAATGTATAAAAAGAAAAATATATCAGTGTCTAAATTTTATATTTTTGTCCCGAGGTTAGTATAGCTCTGTACATGTAGCTCAATATACATGTAAATAATTGACCTTAATAATAGGTTAAAGTTGATTTATGTAAACAAGGACTTAATTTAAATGAACTACATATTATCTTTCAATGTAGATAATGACCAACCAGCTGTGGCACAGAGTCAGAAGAATCCAAGATGTAAAGGAAAAAAGAAAGGTAATTTATGAAATTTTCTTAACCCAGCTGTCTATATTTAATTTGAGAATTTTAATAATTAGATAAAAAGTTGAGTATAAATCATATGATTGAAGAAAAGATTTTGTATTATATAAATAAATGCTAAAAAAAAATTGGCGTGTAAATGTACATAAATAGTTAGATTTATAAGGTTTTGTTTGATATAGTTGTTTATTATTATTGAGCATTTTTCTGCAGTGAATTACGTATTATGTTAAGATCATTTACTGAAATGATGTTTTTATTTGATCCTTTTTCATTGTAGTGAATGACCACCCACCAAATATCAAAGAGGTACAAATACCAAAGCTTCCATACCACCAACACCTCCATCCAATATAAAGGATAGAAATCAAGGTAAATAAGTGCATTTTTTTATGGTAAAGACAGATTATTTTAACATTTTTTTTTATCTATATGTCTGTTCTGTATGAGATTCAAGTTTTAGTTTGGGAACTCTATGGGAACATCAACCTGTTAAATGTTTTACACAAAAGGAGAGATAATTTATTTGTTAGACAACCATGACTGTAAATAAAGTTGAATATGGAAATGGGGAATGTGTCAAAGAGACAACAACCTGACTATATAACAGACAACAGCAGAAGGTTACCAAATGTTTATTTATAGAGATCACTGTTTAATAATAAATATTGATGCTAGATTAGAATTTTGACTTTTTTTCTTGATTAATTGATCATGAGAATGAGATAATTATATCAGGCCATTATGTCTCCTTTGTCATATTTTCTCATGTTATCTTCTGTTTTGTAGATAATGACATGGCAGACACAACTGAAAGCTCGCCAAGAGGTCCAACACCACCACCATCACAACCATCCAGTACTCCTGAGAGAAATCAAGGTAATATATAAACACAAAGTTTTTTATCAAACTGATTCAAAGTTTGAAAATTACAGGCAGTGAGTGTCATGAACTCAATCCACATGCTGCAAATTTTATTTTCATAGCGTTTATTTAACAAGTTCGCAACTATAACAAATCAGGCTATACAAGGTCTGCTCTGACTCAGAATAATATCACAGGGTCAATATTCATGTCGTATTATTATGTGAGTCCTGAATTTGTGTTTTTACTTGCAACTGGACTTAAAAATATTATTCATCCCTATATATTGAACAAAAAAGGGTTCACCCTGGAAAATTTATATATTTTTAACCAGATTTATCAGGATATTTTATATAACATTTTTTTCATAGGAAAAGAAGTCTCCAGTGATGATGAGTCGATATTAAGAAGTGGTTCCAAAGTCTTGTCAAGTTCTCAAAGGACTTCATCTTCATCCAAATGTAATAAGACTTCTGGCAGATCAAGATCAAAATCATCTATTGAGCCTGGCAATACAAACAATACCCCAACGTCTTCATGCCGTTCAGGCAAATCCAGATCATCAAGACAGTCCCAATCATCAAGACAGTCCCAATCATCAAGACGGTCCCGATCATCCAGACGGTCACGATCTTCAAGGCGGTCCCGATCATCAAGACGGTCCAGATCATCAAGACGGTCCCGATCATCAAGAAGGTCTATATCTTCAAGAAGGAGTAAATGATCTTCAAGGAGATCAAGAAGTCATCGTAGGGAGAGGTCTAGATTTCCACCCTACAGGGCCGTTCCATCTTCATCTAGAAGACTTCCTTCAAGATCAATTTCACCAATCAAATACAAATCCAGTCGTACCAAGAACTTGAGGAGGTCATCTAGATCAAAATCTGCAAGTCCCAGACCTGTGAGACATAGGGATTCATTTCCCATGGAGAATGGAAGTAAGTACATGTATATGAAAACTAATCAATATGTATAGATGGGATAATATTGTAAATGCTTAAGTTATACATTTAGTTTAATGAATGCTATTGGAATTGGATCTGATGTATTAAAAAGAGTTGCACATGAAAAAGTTCTCTTGCGCATGTTTTTATAAATAAAAAATAAAAAGACTGAAATATTTGTACATATTATATGAGAAATCTTCAAGTTGTTAATGTTTGTGTCATGTTGGTTTTTTGTGGATAGTTGTCTCATTGGCTATCATACCACATCTTCTTTTTTATATTCAAGATTCATTAGATTTGGTAGAATATGAATTGATGAACTTTATTTTCATATTCAAAATATGACCAATATGCATGATATGGTGTAATTGTTTTTTGATAAACATATAATTTGTTTCTCAAAATGAAGGGTCAACAATATTTGATTTATACATGTACATGTGTGTTTACTTTCATTACAGAATATCAGAAGAGGGTAATATACTTACTCACTGAGACAAGAGACCTTTTAAAACATGGTGTCAAGCCCACTATTGAAATTGAAGACGATAGTGATGAACTTGTGTGTTGTGAAAGTTCAATTGAGTTTGAGTCATTTGATACAGATTTATTAAATGACAAAAAGAAATATTCAGTTGTTGTGAGTATTATTTTATTGTCTTGTAGACTGACGACATACAGGCATTTTTCATCTCTACCATTTATTTGATTTCATTAATTAATTTATTCATGTTTTAGTCATTTCTAGAAATGTACTCTCGTATTGATAATCTAGTGAAAGATATTCAATAATACACAACATTAGATTAATGCTTCATTATAATACGTTATTCTGATTGGCTAACTGTACATCACGTGTTATTCCTTAAGCAATTGCATCACTCAATAAAACTTATCATTCATGATGACACGAGGTCCCATAATAAAGTGCACAGGTAAATTAAATAAAAAATTTATGTAAATCGTGTTTTCATGATCCTAGCTAAAAAATGTAATTATAAGTATTGAATGCTTCTTTTTGTAACTTCATAGGGTTGTAAAAGCGTTGATTGTGCACACATTTTTAGAATGAAGCGCTTCCAGGCTTTATACAAAATGTACTTTGGTCAACACTTTTGAACCCCAATAAAGTTACAAAAAGAAGCATTCAATTCGTAATTGAATTTAAACTAAACATGTAAATTGTATATTATAGGAAAAAGTAATGTTTTATTTTTATATTGTAGAAACATTTGATCAAAAGAATTGGAGGTTCTGATTATGGAGATCACATTAAAAAGGCAATGTCAAGGTATATTTTGAATCTCTTTTCGTTACTTTTATTTTAAGCAAAATATTTTTCTACAGCAATTTAACACTGTTAATTTGTGCAATGATCAACAATGCTACTTAATCTTACCTGCATCAATTTTATGGTCAAATGGATTTGTAACATGTTCATGTTCATGCTCATTAAACATAGCTGAAGGTTCAGGTTCTTATAAGATGTTGCATATAAATTTAAATAATTTGAATTAGTTTGTAAGAAGGGAACATGGCATAACATATTATCTCTTTATCTTGTTGCTAGTCCTGCTTTTTAATTGTAAGTGTAGAATTAACAGCTATCCATCAACATGAATTCTCTATTTTACAGATGTTTGTCGAACAAAGTGATGTCACAGATGAATTTGAGTGGTGCCAAATCAAAATTAAGTTTTGGGAACTCTAATGTGTATAAAATCATCAAAGGTAGGTTATTTTGCCTGTATACATCAGTTGTGTAATATATTTTTCAAAAGTGCTTTATAACCATATTTTTTTATCTTTTTATTGTTTTCATTTAGCATGTTAAGATAAGCTAGGTAAATTGATTTGAATTAAGACATTCATACAATAGAAAAAAGTAACATTAGCAGGCGCGGATCCAGAGGGGGGGTTCCGGGGGTTGGAACCCCCCTTTTTTTTGGACGATCAATGTATTTGAATGGGGACATGTAGTTGGAACCCCCCCTTTGTCCTGGGTTAGGAACCCCCCCTTTTTGAAATGGCTGGATCCGCCCCTGATTAGATATACCCACCATGCATATACTATGCTAACACATCAATATTACAACAATCTCATCAGAATTCTAAACATTTTTATATATATACAACTCGTCTAAACATCAACCCACCAATGTTAGATCTGTAAATAAGCTTTCGCAACATTTTTGTTCTTCCCACACTGGAATTGGAACCCATGCTACCGAGATATCATGACACCAAATCGCCTGCACTGTAACCAGCGCACTAGACAACACTACCACCTGGGCTTTATAAAAATGAAGCTTTCGGTGGCAATATATATATATTAGGTTACATTGTTATAGACCACAATGATATCGTCAAATCTTCTTTGAATAAAAGGAAACTTGTACACGAGTACATATATAGTTCAATGATAAATGATAGTATCCATTCATAATTTTATAATTCTTTTTTTAGCTCACCTGGCCCAAAGGGCCAAGTGAGCTTTTCTCATCACTTGGCGTCCGGCGTCCGTAAACTTTTAGAAAAATCTTCTCCTCTGAAACTAATGGGCCAAATTTAACCAAACTTAGCCACAATCATCATTGGGGTATCTAGTTTAAAAATTGTGTCCAGTGACCCGTCATACCAACCAAGATGGCCGCCATGGCTAAAAATAGAACATAGGTTGCTGCCCCTGAATTGATAATTTTAAGGAAATTTTGCTGTTTTGGGTTATTATTTTGAATATTATTATAGATAGAGATAAACTGTAAACAGCAAAAATGTTCAGCAAATTAAGATCTACAAATAGGTCAACATGACCAAAATGGTCAATTGACCCCTAAGGAGTTATAGCCCTTTTTAGTCAATTTTTAACAATTTTCTTAAAATTTGTAAATTTTCACTTACATTTCCACTGAAGCTATTTGGCCAAGTTTATTATAGATAGAGATAATTGTAAGCAGCAAGAATGTTTAGAAAAGTAAGATCTTCAAACACATCCCCATCACCAAAACACAATTTTGTCATAAATCCATCAGTCTCCTTTGTTTAATATTCACATAGACCAAGGTGAGCGACACAGGCTCTTTGGAGCCTCTAGTTTAATTTTCTCGTTAGTATTTGGAATGTTTTCGGTTATTAACAAAAAAAATAAAAACCTTATATTAGCTAATTTAATTATTCAAATCTTGGACAAAAGTTTCTTCAATATATATCAAAAACCACCCATGATAAAAATTTATTTACATGTATTTCCAATATTCTCATATTATTCAATAAATTTTTATACAAGTCATATGATTTCTAAATGAGCGTTGAAGTTATGGGTTTATTGTTCAATGATTTTGTAAGCTACTATATATATATATAAATATATTTCATGAGGATATCTGGAAACAAATTTAAGGTGAAATAAGGAAATCTTAGCAAACTAAAGTTTGTATTTATTATTTTTATTTTTTACAGAGGTCATTCTCCTGAAGTACCAGGAAGTATCAGAAAAAGATATAGCAGACAAAGTCTCTGCCTATTTGAAGTTTGCCCCAGACAGAGCTGGAGGAGGTGGCAGAAAAAAGGATAAAAATAACAACAATTGAGATTATTGAAAGAAAAATGAATTAAAAATTATCATTGCATACATAGCTAGAGTTCATGTTTTTCTTCAGTGATTTGATTTATATTCATGTAAAATAGGATATCTATAGGTGAACATATTATTATTAATTTACAATATTTGGTATGGTTGATATCTTGGGTTTCTTGTTTCTATATGTTTTAGGATCTTCCTTTCCTCTTGTGGGATCTTTTTATAATCTACACTTATTTTCGGTGTTAGAACAGAACTCTCTTGTTTAATGATTGTCTGACGAGTGAGATGAGGACATTTTAGGACTAATTGAGACCTTATTTCTGTTTACTTATACTTTCATTTGAATCAAGAAAATTTTAGGAGACTATATATTGCCTTTATTAAAGTGATTCATTATGTATTATGCGGTTTTATGAAAAAGTAATTCCTGAAGAGCTAATTATTCATGTGACCAGTGTAATCTATCAATTGAGCTTATGAGAACACAAATAACTGCAAATAGAAATTGCTGAAATGATGGAGCTTAATTGTATTTATCTGGATCAAATGACATTAAAAACTTGTATAGCCTGTCTATCACCAATAAAAGCAACACAAATTTGGAAAGCAGGTAAAAAATTATGTATGCAGGTTTATAATTATCAACCTACTTTCAACCCCTGTTCAACCTTGAGTCAACGTTGAATGGATGTTGAAACTTCAACGTTGAAATGACAACGTTAATTCCAATTTTCAAAATCAAACATAAATTTGACATTGTTTCAACGTTGAGAAACAACCTTGTTTCAACGTTGAATAAACGTTGTGTGCCTGCTGGGATAACTCCTGCTTGCACCTGGGCAGAGAGTAATAAATTTTAAATACAATCCTTTGAAATTAAAAAAACATCCTGTAAAATTTAAATCACAAGGCCTCTTGAATTCATTAGAAAAATAATACACGAGTTTAAAGAAAAATGTGATGTTCTTTTTACCTGTAAAACACACCTGTACTGAGGTTCTTAAACTTTATCAAGGTGCTTTTTGTATGTCATGTCTTTAATTTTGACAAAACTTTCAAGTATGGTTCAGACTTGGTCGAAAATGGCTAAGACTTGTTCAAGTATGGTCCAGTCACCTATAAAGTTGTTAGGAACTGGTCGAGTAAAGGTCGAGTACAAGATCAGACTGGTAAGTATGGTTCAGACTACAGTCGAGTAATATCGAGTATAAGTATATACATACCAACATTGTTAATTAAAACATTTACTTTTAAGCTACTATGTAAAATTTGATTCAAAATGAAACTTAATGTGTTGGTTCCTTGAATATATGTTTAAACTAACTATTCGAACGGAATTTTTTTATAATAGTAAGATATAAAGAGATGTAGTGTGCCAATAACAATTATCTTTTAACCAAAGGACAATGTGAACAATGAAGAGCAACAGTACAATATTTAACAATGAACAAAACCCGCAACGTATAATAAGCAAAAGAAGGACGTAAAACCTTCCAACAGCCACACGTGTATGTGACATTTACATCCAGTATGTAACTAAACTAAACTAAGTTTTATACGTTCATTAGAAACTTGTACATGTTACACTTAACGTAAACGAAACTTTAACAGCTTATTCGTTTGCTATACTGCAACCAGGAACTGGAGCAGCACACAACTATATTGCATATCGATGGAAAAAGGGCAATAAGAACAGTGTGGTCACATGTATGTAAAAGAGAGGTCAAAGGTAAAAGGTCAAACTTCAAACATATCATAAATTGACGCATGAGGAAAAAAAGAAGGAATTTTCTATGATTTTCTGAGCCAAGAGTGTCAAAACGACAATTTTAACTAATTGAACAACTGCCATTGCAACTGTTACATTTCTTGTCACTTTTCACCACAGTGTATGAGAGAATTATTTTTTTTAAACTGTAATACACCGGTTTCTCAATATATTTGAGTTATTTTTTTCCTTTAAAAACAAAATTCAAATACTGGAAACCGTGTTTTTCCATTTTGCATTCTGCCAAGGCGAATGCAAGGTTTAAAAAAAAGCTGTAACCTATCTGTAGGTTCAGTGTAAAACAAAATGAGTTGTATGCCATACACATTCTTTTTGTGGCATAATTCTGGTAAAAATGTATAGTCTTATTATTCTTTAGCGAATTGATTGATTAAAATGTTAATCTGCCAATATTGTAATTTGGCAATTGGCCAAGACCCTTATATAACTTGTGTTTGAAGAGTCAGAAACATTAGTTCTTGCCTTCTTCAAATATGAGATAAACAGAAAAAATATTGCTTCACACTGGACAACTTTAAACAAGAATCAAAGGTAGAATTCAATCTCTTCGTCATTGTTTGAGCATCTGCTTATCGTTTTAACACGCTTCGCGTTCTTGACTCAGACAAAGTTCAGTGCAAGACAGATTTAGAGGTACAAAGTAAATATTGCAAGTAATCAGCAGACATTTGTCCCTAAAAAAAGGTGGGATTTAATCCATTTTGGTCTTTACAGCCAACGTCTAAAGGAGACTGTTGTAGTGACTGTGCACTATGCGAAAAATTTCAAATACTGGTCTTAAGCGAAGCTCTCAGGACATGTTGCAAGTTGATTCGTTTGACGGATAGAAATGTACACTAATAATGAGGACATCTGTATCTTGAGATTTTATCACTATTTGACTTTCTTGTTTCGCCTTCCGATCGCTTTGTCAGCAAACATTGAACGTAGGATCATTCGTATTTGCATCTTCGTGTGTCCTGAATAAATGTTGAAAGTCAGTAACCTCTGCTGAAGAGAACTTTTTCACAATAATCGGGTAACAAAAAATACCCACTAGAAATAGTTCATCCTCATGCGAGGTCAACAGAGGGACTTGGCATGATGACGCTCAAAATAATTTTTCCACTCTGGTATGGTCGACCATCTATTTCTTGGATTACCTTTTTGACTAGAATTTACACCAGTTCGTTGATCTCTTTTGGCAGGTTTAATAGAAAGTTTAATGTCTGTTTTATAAAGACATCCATAACTGTAGAAGCATTGAGGATGCATGATTTCTGATTTTGAATGAAATGTAGGGCCAAGTATCTGAAAGTGTTTAAAGTTAAATGTCTTAACATTTAACAACTGTCCTAAGTCCATTTCGTTTCTGATCAGAGTGGTTGGTTGACCTTTTTTGGGACGTCAGGATTAAGCTATTTGATTCTCGGGAATTCGGAATAGCCATTTCAATGGTAGGGAATTCGTGATTTTATCATATCGTGATGCGGGAACGAACATATTTTTTCAGCAGGAATTCGGGATTTAATTTTATCGAGATAGATTGTTTTCACTCGATTATATATTATCTCTCTTGTACCATTAACGAACCTTTCATATGACACTTAAAGTGACAACTAAACAACATATCACATAAGATCGCCGCATCTGAACAGGATGGACACTCTTTGACTATGACTGTAGACACTAAAAGTAATTAAATGTTAACGTATTTTACTTCTTTATGTTTTTACTTGTACATACAAGTTATATGGTTATATATGGCGATTTTTAATAGCATCTACTTCAAATTTCATTAGAATTCGGGAATTGACATTTGTAATTATCTTGGTTTCAATTTTTAATCTAGGTATTTGGCCATAAAATTCACAGTTGTCTAGTTATAGAAACGAGACTACTAGATAACGGGCATGGATATTCGGTATACTTTAATTAGGCCGTAAGTTTTTTCGTTTGAATTGTTTTACATTATAATTAGTCATTTCGGGGTCTTTTATATCTGACTATGCGGTATGGGCTTTGTTTGTTATTGAAGGCCGTACGGTGACCTATAGTTGTTAATTTCTGTGTCATTTGGTCTGCTATGGAGAGTTGTCTAATTTGCAATCATACCACATCTTCTTTTTATATTTAAACAAATCTGCCTAACGACACATGACATTTTCAAAAATTTATAACATATTATTTACCTGTATCAGAAGCTGTTATTTGTATATTATTTTTGCGTGGACTCGATGCGAAGATATTTGAAAATGTTAAGATTATACCATTAATTATAGTTTTGCTTTTACATGCATATGCAAACTCGAATGCATTGTAATCGATGACAACTCAACTAGAAGCTCTAAAGAGCGCTGTGTCGCTCACATTGGTCTATGTACATATTCAACAAAGGACACTCTCCAACATTGTAGATGAGAATAGAATTAATGAAAAAAGTATTGTATTGCTGATTATTTAGTCTGTTTAGTTTCTAGCTATCTTCTTTACTTTTTGCTCAAAAAACAAAAGAGGGTAAAAAAAAAATCCTCATTTAAGGGCAATCACTCCTTTAAAGAGTGACAGTCTCCAATCCATATCAGTAAAGTTTGACTTGTTAGTAGATCTTGACTTGCTGATCCTTTTTGTGATTTAAAGTGTCTATTTATCTAATACATTTATATCATATAACATGTATAAGGCAAAACGCAAAAATAAACGGTGAAAATGTTATAGAAGTGCAATACCTCCAAAACGGAATGCTCTGACAAGTTTTTCCATGTGTCTTAATTGTAGATCATGTCTTGCTGCTCATTTTTGCTTATTTAAGTTTATATCTATTTATTATAATTGTTTAGATATAAGGCAAAAATGCCAAAAAATTGGTAACAATCGTCATCAAAGGGTAATAACTTTGATAAGGAGCCGAATGACGATTTCGACCATTGTGAACTTTTTTGTAAATCTTGGCTTGTTAATCATTTTTGCAATTTAATGTTTCACTTTATCTAGTATACTTTTCAAGATAGTAGACAAAAAAGGGGGAAAAATGGTAAAATTTGTCATTTAAGGGCAATAACTTCTGTAAGAAGTCGTCTAACAGTTTTGGCGTATAAAGACAATTGGTAGACCTAAACATTCTGAACATTTTGGCTCTGTAAGATTTTCTCTATTTATAACGGTTTTCAAAATAATAGACAAAACTTGCATTTTACCCCTATGTTCTAATTTTAGTCACGTCGGCCATCTTGGTCAGCAGGCGGGGTCATCGGACACATTTTTTTAACTAAATACCTAAATGATAATTGTGGCCAAGTTTGGTGAATTTTGGCCCAGTAGTTTCAGAGGAGAAGATTTTTGTAAAAGTTAACAGACGAAGACGTACGACGACGGACGACAACGGACGACAGACGGACAGCAGACGATGACGGACAACGGACTACGGACGACGACAGACAACGGACAACGGACGCCAAGTGATGAGAATACGTCATCATCATCATCATCATCATCATCATCATCATCATCATCATCATCATCATCATCATCATCATCATCATCATCATCATCATCATCATCATCATCATCATCATCATCATCATCATCATCATCATCATCATCATCATCATCATCATCATCAGCATCATCATCATCATCATCATCATCATCATCATCTTGGGGGAATCGCATGACAACCAAAATGATCTCTATATGTCTTTCTAATTGATTGTGTCGCTTTAACATATATGTTCAGTATCTCCTATTTTCTTTTAGTCACAATAAAGTAAATTTGCTACTTGAATATACATTAACTACAACAGAACAAATTGTGGTGCAAAAATTAATAATCAGTTTAGAAAACTATCAAAATAACTATAACAATGTGTAAAGTCATTTTTAATGTATTTCATATCCTTAAGCTAGAATCTCATCGTTCAAAACATAGCATAATAAGCGGTCATTTCACATGTTTTTATTAATTTAGAAATCATTATGTTTTCAAATGGAAATGTATATATATTTGCTGTTTGTTTTTGTTCATATATTTTCATTCAGACAATAGTGTACTTAAACACATTGTCCTTGCCGTTGGCAACCAATAAGGTATTGGTTCGTCTTTCACAATAGAGTGATTGTGGACTTTTAAGGCCGTCTTTTGCAGATAAAAGTTCCCTGCAGTTTTGTCCATTAGGTTCAATAACAACCACATTACACGAATCTCCACCGATAACAAAAATATTGCCACTGTTATCTACAGCGATACCAAAAGGTGTTTTCAAAATGGTTGTATCTTTGAATGTCCATTTCACTCTTCCCTTAATATTGCAACATGTTACTGTATTTTTTTCAAAGTTTGTGTAAAACAGATTGTCATCAAATGTGTCAACATATGAAAACGCGGGGATATTTTCATAACTGATATCAGTTACTGAGTTATCTGTTAAATTTAACATTTTCAGACCACTTGTTTCAGAGCAAAAAAATAGCATGCTCTGTCTCTCTGCTATGCCGAAATTCATATTCACTGTATTCAAAGAAATCGATTTCTTCACTTTCTTGCCGGCAATGTCAATAACCTGAATACAGTTATCTGGTAGATAAGACGTAACAGCAATGGCATTTTCGCTTTTAACATGAGCTACAGCAACAGCAGACGGTAATCCGACAACAAAGTCTTCTGAGCCATCAGTCTTTAAAAATATCACTGTTTTGGTCGTAAAGCAAGACAAAACCATTCTGCCATCAGGTAACTGGCAACAACCCCTAATATTTGTTAATGAAGTGGAGATTTTCTGTTGCAACTTTAATTCAGTATCATAAATGGATTTAGTTTGGACTTTTGGAATAATCATCTGAGCCTGTGCTTTTTTCTTACAAGCTAACGAAAGATCGCATAATTTGGTTTCAACTACAATCTCCCCAAATCGTTTCAAGTTAGTCATAATATTTTCAACTGCTGCATCGATATTCAAAACGATGCTCTTGCTTCTTTCGCTTTCATCATATGACTTGAGAAATGCATCCTCCGCAGATATTTTAGTCTCTAGTTGTTTTCTTGCCATAAATGCTTGGAAGTTTGAGGCATGATGCTTAATATTGTTTATCTTCTTCCGGTATGTCGTAAAATACTGTTCCTTTTCGTCCAAAATTTTCATCTTCTGTTTTATTTCAAGGCTCATGTTTTCTTCTGAAGTTCGTACTTCATTAATTGATTTCTTCTGTATTTGATCAAGGTGATTATTCATTTTCAAGCGTATTTTCTGAATCTCGTTTTCAATACTTTTTCTGTTCTCTAATATTGTACGCAGATTCTCTTGGTGAAATTTCCGTACTTTTTGCATGTTATCAACTACTTCAGATAATGTGTCTTCTACTTCTTCGAACGAAGAAGAAGTCTTTGCATGTTTTATTATATCGTCAAGATCAACTACTTCTTGGCATTTTTTATGACCGTCATTGACACACTTGCCACAGCACGGTGTTTCGTGATCTCTGCAGTATAAAAGAAACTTCTCATCATGCTTGGTACAAGACAGAGGAATCTGCATGACATCTGGAGGTAGTTTTTGATATTCAGCTATTGGCATCGTCTGGTGATGTCTGGTTGCCTTTGCCAAGCTGTGATGTTCTTCACAACCGGAACAAAACCCTTCATCACAATCTGGGCACCACGATACGGTTAGTTTGGTCACATGACGAAGATCACATACACCACAAATATGTGCTGCACTAGCCATTATAAGACTACGTTCACCTGCAAAATAAAAATAAGCATTCGATATGGAAATTTTAAACAAACAAGCAGATGTCTGTCCCACAAAAAGGTGCATTAATGACCCTATATGTTTACAGTTAGCCCGTCTTTATCCTTATAATTCCTTTGTTGATGAGTGCTACTCTAGTTGCCCCCTTTTAGTTAGTTTGTTAATCTAATCTATTTTACAATCCACTTGAAATATTGCATCATGTATACTTATTTCCTGTCATTTTATGTTATATATTTTTAATGCCTCGTGGTTGATAGTACAAACTGCATTGTTGGTAATTTTGCAGACATATACAACAAGGTCTTTATTCAAACGCACGTACGTTAAATGTGGCGCTATTTTGCGAATTTTTGTTTTTGAAACAGCACTTTTTCTTATTGCTTAGTTAAAATGTACATACACATAACTTTAATACTGACGGCCATGTTGTGTTAGATGCAGAGAATTTGCAATATGTCTGATACAGTACCTTTAATGTTTGAGACCATTTTACAGAAAACTATTAAAATTGGAATACCTATTGATTTAATTTATTTCTCGTATGAGTTCCTAAATATTTTTCCATCTTATCAATGACAGTCACCTTACAAAATCCGCTTTCTGTTTAAGAAAAAATAGCATCCAATAGTTTTAGCGGCATTAGCAACTGTAACAATTTTATAAGAAGATTTTTGAATTTGGTAAATCATAATCAAAGACTGTCTCTGTGACTTTACTTTTTCTATTTAAACGAGTCCTAATAAAGAGTTTTTACAACAGCTTTCAAATAATATTTTTATAATGTTTAGAAGTCTTTTACGAGAGTTTAATGCTAGCTACGTATCGGTACTGCTACCTTGATTTCAACATAATCCGGTTTGGATGTGAATCTTTATATGGGTCATTCAAGTCTTCAATCTTGTAAAGTTTCTAAGCATTTGAGTTTTTCGTCCAGGGAGGAAATATAAGCAGAATCACAGAAAACCTAATTATTTATGTGAGATATACAGACTGGCCATGCAGATTCAGATAAGACGATGACAAACGTGATGTCCCATCAAGTTTTAATCAACATTATATGTCCAACTAAAATCCCAATGATAGCCATCTGATCAACGTTAAACAATGTTTTTAAACTAAGTTATATATATATAGCACGCCTTTTACGAATTAACGTATTTAATTCACGAAAAGCGTAGCTTTGAGTGGATTAAATATGTTAATTAGTAAGGCGTGGCTATATATGATTTGTAACATTAATGGGTATGACACACGTCAAAGGTCAAATGCTGACCAATAAAACTTTACTGCACTTTTCAATATATGTCAATAAACTAGTGGCGTGATACTATATCTGATTTTCGAAAATTAACAACTGCAGCAGATGTCAGTTCGATTGGTCAGATACACATGATATAGGTACATTAGAATGAATTGTTGCCGTGGGATTTAGGCTCCATAGCTATTTACGTGTTATAGAATATTTTTTCTCCCAAAAAAACTCTTGAAAAGGGGGCGGAGGGATGCAAAATTTTATTTGATGTTTATCTGCCCTCCAACTCGAAAATGACGTGTAGTTTCAAATGAGTTTTATCGTTGTGATAAGAAGGAAACATTTTATAAAAACAGGTATCCAACCAAAATAATAGTAGGAAAATTTATAGACATTTCTACTACATTTTGTTTTATTCTTTCATGAAGGGGAGGAAATTAAACGACTAAAATTCCAGTGACATTTTTTTTTTTTGGAATATTTATGTTGTCACGATAAAAACAATTCATAATTTACTAGGCGAAGGAGGCGGAGCTAGACAGTGAAATAACAACTTTTGAGATGGAAGTTAGAGCACTGGTCTAAGCTCCTCCCATTCTTTGCTTTTCCTATTACAAGCGACACACGGCGGGACTGGAGAGTGCAATGACTAAAAAAACATTCAGTTAACGCACTCCTCTAAAAATAACCGTAGTTAACTCACTCGAAGATCAAAGGAAAAATTACCATTCATGTTACGAGTTTAGTTTGTAAACGACCTTCCAATCATAAATCCTGTTTAATTTATGAGCACTTTGACGTGCAGCTTCAACAATTTTTGTTCAAACTAAACAAGAATCAGCGAATTCCTCTGTGTCAATGTCTTTTATTCAAACAGTTCTATGTTGGCATTGCCTGATGTCATGTTTTTATCTGACTGTTTATGACGTCTTTACAACTAATCTAATGGAAGTTGAATTTGTTCAGATTGACATTTTAGTCTAACATTAATGATTGTTTTCGTTGGTCGTTTTATGCTTTCAAATAGCTATCAGTAGTGTAAAAAGGCCGATTCTTCGGCACTTTCCATTTTTAAGGGGAAATCTACCATAAATCCAACTTTTTTTTTTACAATGTAAATGGACCAGCATTTTAATTAGTCTAAGGGTAAATACAAATTTGGCTTTTGTAAACAATGGTAGAGACACCTTAAAGGGATGTAATCCTAGGGTAGAAACAAAATATGACTTTCGTACAAAAGATGGAGGAACTTAAAAGTTCAAAAATTACAGACAACGATTTTATCAACGATAATGTTTTCGAGGAAAAGGCAAAGGACCAGAGCCTGGAAACCCTGAAATGGAAGGAACTCCCAATCGGAGTGATTTATAAAATCCTGGAAGTGGTAGAAGTAGATGGGAAGTTTGGGAGGAGTAAGATTCTCACCTTGAAAAACAGAGAAGTAGAAACGACAAGGGTGTGGGCTTGCAGTATACTGAATATAGAGAAGGAACCCTTGGAAGGAGCCTTTGTGAGAAGTACAGGCTTAGAAGTCAGCAAAAAGAACAAACAGGAGTACTTTTCCTGCAACCTTGTGAGAAAGTAAGTTAAAAAAAAAAAAAATAATGGGCCGGGTGGGGTTCAAACAATTTTTCCGATCCGACATTTCTGCAGGATTGGAAAAGTTTTTTTTTATGCTTGAAACGTCACACATCATGAAATGAAGCGGAATGGAGCACATCGTGAAACGATGTGTGGAGTGAAGTGTAACGGAATGATGTGTGACGTTTTTCACGGCGCATGCGCATTAAGATCCTCACTAAAAGTGGTGGAAGGTTGTCGGAGCTTATCTTTTTCATCGTAGTAGTTTTTGAGGCAAGTTGTGATTTTCCCAAACTCAGCATCATCAATTTGTTCATCACCAGCCAAAGCAGTACTAATACATTGTTCAACCAAAAATTTTTTGGCCAATTGCAAGGTGTCGCGGTGTTTTTTCTTCTTTTTCATGATACGCCTTGAGATTAGTGTGAGTACCATCACGCCAGTGGCACTCAAGCAAGCAAGGGATCCTAGGGGAAGGGAGGCTATAATACCTATACCGGTCAAAGCTGAACCCATGGTGCAGCTGGTTAACACCAAACTGCCCACAGAACAAACACCCAGTGCTACAGATACAACTTTGTCCAGACGTTTGTAGATCTTCAAGGTATGTTGATACTTATGTATATCCGCGTTGAGTTGATCTTCCATACATTCGACTCTGGTCTGTCGGTATCCAGAATCTAAATCATCCATTTATTTATAGGAGCATACCGAGGAGGGGAATATTTTTGAAGGGGCTTTTAGCACCTAAGATCAGATCAGCTCCGTCGTGGAAATGCTGACCACGCTTCAAGTAGAGTCCATCACCATAGGTGATCCGGGCGTTTGAAGGTTTGAGGTAGAGACCGTTGCCACTAGGTTTCACGGTGCAACCACCAAGACCACTCAAGGCTCCAACACCCAAGGCGGGTAAAATGTTTTAGCTAACATGGGGAGTGCCCTCATTGCCAGCCCCGCCAACATAGGTAGGAAGCCACCCACCTTCTGCATGTTTTCCTTCAATTGGGTCGCACTCAACTCTAGGACCATACCACCAGTACCCTTTTGTAGAAGCTTGGCGATCTTTTGAACCTGGCGGGTGGTGAGCCACAAAATTTGTTCGCCTTGCAGGTTTGCGTGGGACAAACGAATGTAGACCGGACAACCTTTCTTAGCCGCCCGTTGTAGTATATCTTGACCTTTTGTCAAGTTCAAACCTTGTTCATGATAAGTCATGTATTTATACCTCACGAAGATGAAAGCGGATGGTGAGATGTTCACCCCTGAAATCGATGGGCCTACCAGCTTGATCGGTGAGATACGTTTGCATGCGATTGATGGTTCGCAAGGTCACCGGCAAGTATACTAGATTCTTTAGGGTTTGAATGATCTTCATACCAGGACCGTCTGCGGGAAAGAAGCTGTAGATGGTAGACTGCTGTGTACCATTCACATAACTTCCATGGATGATATCACTTTTCACCAGAATGCTGTTGGTGCTGATGATATTTACAATGTGTTCCCCTTCCGTATAGCCGTTTGTGATCATATCGAACGTGTAAGTTTGCCGCTCGAATCCCAAGACGGTGTTGATGCTATTGACAACGTTGAAGTCTACTTGATAGTGTCTGGCGAGGGTCAGCGTTGCTCTTAGGGTCGCCCGATTGCATCGATGATGATCTTCGTTTTGTGTTTGTTGAGCCGTAGCCGCCGCTGGATCTCATTGTTGATGTCTTCGATGTCATAGGAACCTGTGCTCAGTGCGATGGGAAACCAGTTGGCACCATCGTCGGGGGAGTAGCGGAAGGAATTGTTACCTGTGTGAATGTTGGGGATGGAGTTATAGATTTCCAGGTTTACCAATGCCATCTCGTAGGCCTTGGATTCCTTGAGTTGTAGTGGGGGGTTGAATCGGGTAAGGATTTGGCTATCGTTTCCAGAGACGATGAAGGAAAACCCATGCTTTGGGTCGGTATTATCGACAATTTGCTGCAACAATGTGTTGTCCATTTATTTATGGTAGACCATTGTCAAATATCTTTGCTTCCACTCTTCGATACCGTCATACTGCTCCTTGAGTTGTTTACTAGCCTTCACTACGATCGCATAGACTTCGGCGGGGTGACTGGCAAAGAGGAGTTGTAGGTGAATTTTATCCATTTACTTTTAGTACAC